ACATCACCGAAGGCAGGGTTCAAAGAACATCTTCAAATCACCTGAGTAACTTAATGAGCTCTCTAAGGATTCCTGCATCTGTCCCGCTGCGTCTTGCTTTGCTTCGGCTTCGCTTCGCTTCGGCGCGGAGCGGTCGCGGCGGAGCGGTCGCGGTCCCGACCGCTGCCGGACCGGTCTTCTGCGTGGGACCGGTCAGTTGAGCCGTGCCCCCGAAGGACTTCTGACGCGCGATCGCTCTGAACAAACAGCTTGAAGCAGCTAAGAGGTACGCGCGACTACTTACATAACAGGTTGAAGCTGCTTCTGGTTGAAGCAAACATGAAGCAGCTACATAAGAGGTCGCAGCTACATAACAGCCCTTGAATGTTTTGACATGCTTGAAAGTCTATTGATGGCACAAACCCCCAAAAACGTGGCTTACATATATTTGTTACATAGACCGGATACTCCTCTCTCATGTTTGGTTTCGAACGTGCCATCGGTTGTGTGGCGAAAAAAGGGCTCCAAACACCCCGATGGCCAAGCGAACCATACCATGGTGCATCTGGGTATCTGATTGTGGTCTGATGACCATTGCTCGGTCGGTGGATCAATGTCGAAACATTATGGATTTGCTGGGTCAAAGCCATGCTCCATGATTTACGCCAGAAAAGCCTAGATGATGTGCTACTCTTGCACGGGCAACTTAAAAATGTTTGGTCGATTCGACCAGTCAAGCACACCTCTTCCTCAGGATCTCTTGCTTGTCCTTAGATTCCGTACTGGGGGTTTAACATGGCAAAAAGTAAAAGCCAGTACAAGCATAAACTAAAGGAGGCTCCGCATTGAGGAGTGCGCTTAAGGACTGTGAAGATCCATGAGACGGTGGCTCACATGTGAGCAGGGAACTTCTTTGCAAACTTACCGGTAACTGAGTCATTTAATGATGCTTAATTGATCTGCACTGCATTGCAAAGAATGCACCCCAACGTGCAAAGAATTGTGGTTAAAATTTAGAGGATCACAATGTCCAAAAGCACCCAAAAGCCATCAACAACCCTGAATGGGTCATGGATGCAAGGGCTCTTGCCTGATCAAGACATTGAAGATCCAAAGGGAAGTTCAACGGTGCGTCCACAATAGTCTCCATTGAGCAACACAAACTAAAGCAAAGTTCACCAGGTTGAAAAACAGAACAGGCTACTGTGAGTCACACAAGGAACACACTAGCCATCGTCTCGGTGGGCAACAACTACTATCACCCTGATGTATACTGGCGGTAACCGGTCGTCCAAATGTGGTTCACCATGAAGTCAATGTTGAAATGGTAACTACTTGACCTGGGTCACTGGGCTTGCTGGTCTATGCAAGGACTCGTCTCCCACAGTGCAATACACAAAAACATCCAGGCTGGTGAAGATTGGGACCGTGCACTCCCCAGACAGCGGGGCTCACTTCCCGCTGACGCTCTTATCTAAGTCTCTGCTCGGAATGGCGCCGAGACTGGGTGCAGAGAATCGCGGAGACCGGTTTTGCATGTCTCCAAATCTGAGCACCAACGACTGAATGGCTCCTTTCGACCTGTCCGTGCCTTTGAGGTGTTTGGAGATGTTTCAACTTGTAGGTGGGTCAGTGAACAATACCTTCTCAGGATGTAGTTATATTCATAGCCTCTTGCATGGGTGGCGTAACCGAGATGTCTTTGGCTGCCACCTGACAAGAATGATCACAAGTCGGTTGGTTTGCTTCAAGCCCCCCTTACTCTCTTGTCATTCCACAATGGCTTGATGGCATATATAGTTTTATGATGCACGTGATTTAAAAGATTTAATGCCCGCAGGGCCTGTGACAACAGCGCGGCACTTTGTTCACCGGCGTGTCACAACGCCTTCGACTCTGTGGTCGACTGCGCCATGGCGCCATGCGCTTCGCCGGCCGTGGAAAAAAGGGCCCTTTTCGGGACGCCCGAGATTTCGTGTCTCCGGAATCGAACTTCAACGTCTCCGGAATCGAACCCCCCATCGGGCTCCAGTCGCCGTTTCGGTGGGACTAAAGGCCAATGTCCAATCAAGGCGGTCCCAAACACTCCATGTATGGTATTTACATACTCAGACGCTCCATGTATGGAATATATGCCTACATTGGGGTGGTTTGGGGGTTCAATATAGGCATATATCGCATACATGGAGTGTCTGGGATACATTGGGGTGGTTGCAGGGGTCCGTCTGGGGCGGCAAAAAAAATGGCAGTCCCATGGAGTGTTTGGGAGTGAGATGCCGCCAGTCATCAATCTGTCATGGGCACCAACACCCAACACCTATCCAGTGATGGAGCCATGGGAGCCCTGCTTCGGTCTATGCTTTCATACTCCGGAGTCAATGAAGCCAACAGAATGCAACACACACACACACACACCAACTCTTTTTTTGATTAACTTCCATAGCTAGTTGGAAGATGTCGACGAATCAGTTCTTGGAGCTTTCCCCCCGAAGAAACCCAACTCCGTGATTGGCATTCTTGGGCCTGTGCCGAGAGGTACACTTGAGATGGTGTGCCGAGAGTCTTGAAGACGGGATATCGGATATTTGGACATCTATGTCCTAATGAAACACCTTTTGAAGCAGTAAACAACCAGCAGTCACAAGTACGGGGTGGTGTTCTGGGCACCCCTAACGTGAGTGGATGTTCTGGGCACCCCTAACCTCTATTAAGCACCCCTTGGTGACATACATGTTATACTATATATATATACCATATGGACCATATACATAGTGCATCTCTTCGCACCATGTTTCCACCGCCAGCCTCCTGGAAAAAAAAAACGGTGCTCTCCAACGACTTCTCTGCCAGACCGTCCGCTCCCCGGCCCGGAACGCGGTGCGTTCGTTCTGGGTGGTTCCGGACAGGACTGGCGCGTTGGCGGGCGCCCGCGCCCGGTCTCTACGTGTACAGCCCAAGCCTTTGGGACGTCAAGGCCCCTTCACTCACCACAAGAAGCAGAAAGTAGCTGGCTGAGAGCCAGCTACATCTGGGAGAGGAGCTGCATCATTCTCCTGAGAGTCACAGAGTCGGTGGCTCGTTCCGAGAAACGAAGCAGGCTTGGCGAAGCTCCGGCGAATCGACCGATTAGGCCGCGCTGAGCGATGGATCTTCGGAGAAGTGCCACTTGTGCCCACACCTGCTGCCAACGGCCAAGCGTCAAGTTGCCTTCCCGCATGGCCACTTGCTGTGGACAGGAGCGCTTAAGCCCAAACCAGGAGACCTTCACAGCATTCACCTCAGCCGGAGTCCAGGTGCCAGGCCCGAGCCCTCCAGCGTCACCCCTTCGGCTGCGACCGGAGGGTGAGGTTGGAAGGACCAATCGACTGACATTGGGCGCATCCGTGCTGGAGTCTGGCTGACCCTCTGCAACCCCAAACTCCCAAATCAACTCGAATCACACCCCGGATGGCAAATAGACCACGAGGTGATCGTGAGGACATTGAGATTTCCAGTCTCTCACTTAAACAAAATGCGGACTTTGAATACCAGCGGTAGAGACACATATATAAACGACCAAGGGTTGTTTTGAGCCTTGATATTGGACCGCAACCAACACATATACTTAGGATTATTCACAGCAATTCTTTGACCATCTTCCGGTCGAGCTCCTTGGCTTACCAAACTCTTGGCTCGAAGGTCGCCGGGACGGACACAGCCCACAGGATACGCCATGATATGTGCAAAACAAACTCGGTGGCAAGTTAGAGATAGTCCAAGATTGGTATTTCTGTCATTCCCTGGGCCAAGTGGATGATGGTTACTGTAGGTTGCAAACCTTTCTCAAACATTCTCACACATAGTGATGATCTATCGACTGTTTAGAGATGTTTAGAGCTAATGGGACGGTTTCTTTATGTTTCTTTCGTCAACATCTGTCTGACCCAAGTAATCGATACGATTTACCTTGGGGATCCTTGGGGTAACTTGACCAGGTGGCCATGGGGCGGCATATGCTCCAGTCCGGGTGGCACTTGAAGTGGTTCACTGCAACGCCGAAACGCCGAGTGGTTCACGCCCGGTTCGGGTCGGCCACCACTCGGTCGACAAGGGGAAGCAGGTGGGTCGGCCACCACGCGGCTTCCGGGGTTTGACCGGACCTTGAGTAGTATACGAAGGATTGGCCTGTGAGAGCCTCTAGTCATCGAGCAGGGTCTAGCAGGCCGTCCTTGGGACAGGAAAAAGGCTAAAACATCGATTCCTAAACCGCATGTCAGTTTGCTGTGTGCATGAGCACTCCAGGAAACAGAGTGATTACGCAGCTGGAGTACTGGATACTGCTCTATACTTGCGCACTGGATGTCGCAGTTGCCACCCCGACCACCTCTTCACTTCCATGCCCTCTTTACAACTCATCTGCCACCCAATTAAATCATTCCCCACACCAAAACAACACAAACGGCTCATAATGACGATTCCCGTTCCTTAAATTCCAGCAATGTTGGTCAACAGAACAGTTCATCGGCTTGTCGAAAATAACGGTCCCAATGCCAGTCCAAGCACCTTACGTGCTTTTCTCTGCTCCTTGAGTGCCTTGCCTCTCTGCTCCTGAAGCGCCTTCATTTCCAGTTCCACCGCCCTCCGTTGCTGCGAGGCCCGAATCCTTGCAAACAGTGAAGCAGTCTTCCACTGACACACATTTGATTTGAAGGGTTCAAGGAGAAAGCCAAGGGTTTAAGGAGAAAGCCGTTGGTTACGAGGGCAAGTGGGAATGTGTTTACAGGCAACATGTCCAATATTCACGTGCTGTCATGCATCACCACAAACTTTGACAAGCGGTAATCGCAAATCACGAATGAACAACTGGTTTCTTCGTGGGGGGGTCTTTGCTTTCCTGGCTGGGTGGTGTCCAGTTTTGTTTGTCATATCTTCTTGGGCTGGCAAATGTGAGTGACAATGAACATGTAACCCGGTGGGTTGAAACCGCCAAGGTCACCAGTTTCACTAGGGATCCAAGTACCTTCTGAGGTACGGTGATTGGAGACACCCTTATGTAGGTTTTGAGGGTCCAAGTACCTTCTGAGGTTCGGTACGACTGGATCCCTAGGGAGTTTGGCGGATCGTTTACGTAAAACATGGAGAACACCTCTAAGCCTCTTCACGCCTCTAAGCCTCTCTTCGTGTGCGTAGGCGTAGGCGCTTGCTTCGTTCATGCCCGGCTCTTGGGCGCCGCATGCTGTAATAACGCCGGCATAAGCCTCTTAAACACTGGTAAGCCTCTTAGTGTCCTTGGCCTCTTGGGTTGAGGCGCTCAGGTTTGATGTCGAATACCTGAACCCCTTCCAATTACTACTGCAAGGCGTCCTCATGTGCAAAGCCACTTTGACCACAAGACATCTAAAAGAATCTTGACAAAGAGAGGACTTAGGAACATATCAAGACTTGTGACTTGACTCTCTTTCTTTCCCTCGTCATCATCGCCGAAACCCGAAATCGTTGACTCGATCCCTCTCACCCCCTCGGAAAGAATAAGTCCTTCCAAAAAATAAAAATAATTCTACTGCTGTATTGGCTTGTCCCATCTTCTATCTGCCTGAGGAAGATGTTTCGGCCTTCTTAGCTTTCAGCCCTAGGAGCTGTTCAGGGGTGGCTCGCACGATTCCTGGCACGATCTCTCCAGCACCCAAGAGCTTGCAACGACCACCGACCTGCGGCTGTTTCTCTTCGTTTTTCGATGGCTCAAAGAGGCTTCGCGGATCTGGAAAGAAAGAACGGATCTTGCCGCCGTTCCAAGCTTCAGAAGCCACGGTTTGTCTTGTCACAGTGCACATCAGTGTTGAAATCCCCAGGTCAGGTAGAGTCTGGGTGTAAATTTAATTCAAGCAATGCTTATAGAGTGTACCTGCTTTCGGGGATTTCAACATCAGTGCACATCCTTTTTGTTCTGGATTTCTTCCACGTGGGTTTCAACCAACCAATGAAACCCATGAATTCATCGGACTGTCCAGCAAATCGATGGAGGCTGCGTCGCGTCGTTGAGCCACCTGACCCCCTAAGGCATCCTAAGGCCCTAAGGCCACCGGACCCAGCTGCCATGCGACAGCTTCAGTTCTGACCCCCAGAGTTTCCATCGAACTTCGCATCTCTTGCCATATCCATGGCTGCACGAAGTAACACCCTGGTTGGGTACTGGACACTTTGCACCTGTTCGAACGAGAGGAGAGTCGAACGAACCCGACGAACGAACGCGCGGGTCCCAAAAACACTTCGACCAGATCCCCAAACGTCCACGTTCGCCGCGGGTCCACACCCTTTTTACGCCGCCTGTTGGAAGTGGAACTGAGACATGTCTGCAGACTTGAAGCGAGAACTTGGACAAAACAAAAGGCTGCGGGAGAAAGCGCATGGCCGCGACACGCTCTGAGAATTGGATGATGAACCATCAATGGTTGGCTGATGTTGGTTCCTTGTGACTTATGACAAGTGAACTGCAAACTCCCCACCCAGACGCTCCAAACAGCCCGACTAGGTCCCTCAAAACCATAGGGTTTGCTTCGGGTCCAGACCCCTCCAGAGGATTCGGGTCCGACCCCTGCATATGAGGGTCCGACCCCTGCATCTGAGGGTCCAGGAGCGTCTGGGCAGTTCTAAATCACGAGGGCACATCCCCTTGGCATCGGACTTCAAGTCGTCAAACATCCAGTTGGCCCGTGCAGCAATGACAGGGCTTGCCCGTGCAGCACATGCTTCAACACCAATGAAACATGTGACATCTTGTGACATCATATGACTCCTATGACATCTAATTATACCTTGACCCACTTCAGTTTTATTACTCGGACACAAAGGTGGTGAACACTTCGTTTCACCTCTTTCCATCCCATCCGCTCCACGACATGACTACCCTCCCCCCATTCGCTACGCTCACCGGACCGTGCCCAGGCGGCGGATCTCGGGCTCTGCGACCTCCAAGGCCGCCAGCAACTCCCCGCGGATCGCATCGGTCTCCACCGGGAGACCGGCAGACACGGCGGACGCGGTGTCCGCCAAGGCCTGGGTGGCCACGTCGCCCAGGATGAAGAAACCCAATGACATAGCTCACCATCAATCATAGATCACCCTTGCGAAGACTTCGAGTGTTGATGTCTTGCCTCATCTTCTTCCACCATCCGGCTTGTCTCATCTATTCTTTGATAACCCCAATGAATGCTTAACATGTTTTAAAAAAGTGGTGCGCATTCGTTGGGGTATTCAATCTATTCTTCTTTCTTCCAAAACGAACAACCGAATATTAAACACTTCCAAAACGCTCCTCGCCTCGTCCGGCGACGCCCAACGCGCTCCCATTGGCCGGAGGCGCTCCGGTGGGGCGGCCAAGGGCGGGCGGGCCGCGGGCGGGCCGCGCCCAAACGGGAAGACGTGTAGGTACGGTGTAGGTACGGTAGAAGTGGGATCATCATGAGGTGACAAATGCTCAAACACAACGGTGAAACATCTATTGTCTCCAGCTGTTCAAGTTGTTTGTCTGCTCGAAGCTGCCCAGACAGCGGCGATGGCGAGCGGTGGTACCAGTAGCTGCTTACAGCCCAACAACACCTTCGATGGACTTGGTCCGTGGCTATCCAATCAGGGGGTCACATCATTTGGGTTTAGGATTCTAGACCTTCAGGCTGATGCCCTCCGGGGTCAAAGCAGGCCGTCCGTCCTGCAGACTGATGATGTGTTTAACCAGCGACAAACGTGCAGGAAAAGAACAACATGGCTAGAGAGGTTGAGGAACCCTATAGACTATCCCATATGTACCACAGACCAGGGTCCTAGTCCTGGTCTCTCAACCTCTCTTGGATGGCTAGACCAGCTATGAGGCCGCACTTGAGATCTGGACCGGATCCCAGTCTGACGAAGGGAGCACCGTTCATGACAATCGGGGGCACCGAAACCAAAGACGAAAACATCTCAAAGGGAAGAACTGAAGAACTTGCATGATTTTACATCAACTTCAGACCTTGCATCTCTCTTTGCTCTGCCCAGGGTCTGTTGGGTCTTCCGGCTTGAAGAACATGTTCTAAGCACCAAATCTCAGAAGATAACATGATTTTTTTCGAAAGAGAGATCCATGGAGCAACATTTATTACCCTTGGCTTGCCATAATGTAGACTCTTGATGAATAAGCCCCATTTGCATTGGACATCCTCTTCATATGGGGGCATATGATATGTAGTTCAAGAGTCCACATGACTTGGATCTTTGCAAGGTTGCTTCTTCTCTCCTTCGTTTCTCTGGGCCCAGAGCGGACGGCCTGGCCCCGAAAGGCCAGCGGAACGACGCGAGTGGCGGAACGACGCGGGTGACGCGCGCGGGGAGACTCTCCCGGAAGGCGATGATCTGCGCGCGCAGGGCGTGGTTGGGCTTCAGCACCTGCAGGTGGCGTACGGCGGCCCTGCAGTCGCGACTCAGGACTCGTGACTGGGACGACGGCGGTGCCAGGGGAGAAGGTCCAGTCACACCGAACCTGAGGAGGCACGATCGGAGGTGTAGGAGATGTGAGGGAGTCCAATTCTCGAAGAAAACGCCTAGAACTTGAAGAGAGGTTTGAAGAACCCGACTGTTCGACTATTCTTGTGTTGGGCAATGGCAGCCATACATGACCAACCATCAAATATGTTTGTTACTGTTTGTTGTGAAACAAACAGCGAAAACAACGCACAAACACAAGCAAATGAACATGCAAAAACAGCGCAATGTGTTCTGATTTTGCATTTGTTTTGCTTTTTTTCCTGGTGCCACTTCTGCACTTATGAGAACTTTTACCCGTCAGCAATATTTGCTGCACGCTCCTAGGGGAAAAAGAAAACATACTTGAGGCCGAGGGTAGGTGACGAAAGCTAGCAGGGGTGCATCCGGACTGGTGGGACATCAAGCGGAGTGAGGCAAATGCTCATGAGGTAAAACGTTGTGAACATGTAAGACACACAAACAGCAATGACACAGCCAACCTTAGAATTGAAGTCCCCGATAATTAAGGAAGCGTGGCTGGACTTTGCCACACTGTTCGATGCATCCGATGTGTTCACGAACCTGTGAGCTTGTTGAATCTGTTGCACTGTATCCCAAAACCTCCACGGAGGAGTTGAACCAGTGTGGATCCCATAAGAGGTGCCCAAGAGGTGTCCCAGAGGCAAAACAAAGCTGCTTGCATGACTTGTTTGGTTTCTTCTATCGATGTCGATGTCATGAACATGTGAGCTTGTTGAATCTGCTGTTGGATCGTCATGTATATGTAATGAGGGACTGAAGAAAAGCAACGCAGCATCATGAGCATCACGGGAAGTCACAAACCAGGCGTATCAGATACACCTGGTTTATGTATGTTTGTTTGAGCATCTTTGTCGAGTGAAGTGTCAGCCATATGCACTGAGATGCCGAAGGAAGCTCAAAGGCACGTGTATCTGATACGCCTGGTTTCTGACTTCCCGTGATGCTCATCATTGAAGCCTTGAACCCTCGCGTAAATTTCATGTTTCATGCCCCCCCTTCCAAACTCAAACAGTGGCCTACTTCACCTGCCACCTAAACATAGCACTATAGCACGTTCCGGAAGCGTCCCAGGGGGGAGTTGAACCCGCGGGGGGGGGGGGCCCCCTACACGTGAAGTTTTCACGTGATTCATGATTCTCGAGGCTGCGAGCCCTTGACTTGCTAAAGCAAGAGCAACTCCAGCTAGCTGATGCTAGCTTTCGTGATAAGCGAAACAAATGCGAAACAAAGCGAACATAAAGCGGAAAAAAACAGGTGAACAAAAGCGACAAACACGCACTTTTTGCTTTTTGTTTGCTTTACCTTTTGCATCCTTTTGTTTTTTTGCTTTATGAACTTATTTTGGCTCTTTGTATCTATGGCTGACGCGCCCGACTCGAGACTCCATTTATAGGTACCCCAGGTAATTCGGGTCCTATATATCAGGTCACTGGCTCCCGCTGTTGGGAAGCCGTACCATGCTGTACAAAAGGACTCTGAAGAAGGCACCAAGTGATTGGTCAATGGCAATGGGATCATTTTCGCCTGGTTGAAGGCCTAGCTTTCTGAATGTTTGCGCATCTACAGGGCCTGTTCATCCCAGCGCATGCCGCTTGGCATGGTGAGAAACATCTTCCCAATAGTTTAGCTTGGCAAGGTAGATGGGAGGAAACATTTGGATAGAGTCGGAAGATATGCCTCTTTGAAGCGTTCCACCTATCTTGACCCACTTTTGGATTCAAACACGGTTGGCACGTTGCATGGGTCGTGGTTCTATTTGATGAACCATTTACAATATTTACAAGATCTCTTGCGAATCCGTGGGCCAACTACCAAGAACAAACACAACTAAGTCCTGATCAGAAGGGACACATCCCCACTGGCACCCCACCCCAACCACCTTCACCTTCACCGGAGGGGGCGGCTCCTGCTGGTCGTGTCCGCGACTCCGCCGACATCGTGGACCCGCCGCGAGGACCACCCCGTGTTCCTCCCCCGGTCACCCGCCCTTCGGCCCCGGATGGGCCTTGTCCGGCAGGTCTCTGCCGGTCTTGGGGGAGGTACCGTGCTCCTGGAACCACCAACCGACGTCGGCCGTAAGAAGGCGGGGCGCCAAACGCTCGCCCGACCGTTCTGGCGAAAGCAAGCGCCCGGTGGAAGAACCCCATGCAACATCGATGGACAGACCTCCCATAGGTACCCGAGCACTTACCCTATATAGGTCACTTATATGACCCAAACACTCCATGTATGACATATCTACCTATACTAGACCCCTGAAACCAATCCGTAGGCATATATGGCATACATGGAGTGTCTGGGTAACCCTAGTTCGACTATAAAGCAGGACCATCCTGTTTGCTCTCCGAAGGACCGGTCGGTGGAACCCACCGATTGAAAAGCCCCCGAACACCCGCCCGCCCGCCGCACCGCGACGCGGCCGTGGCCAAGAGGAGCGCGGTTGCGGGGCAGATGCTGGTCCTCGGTCCTCGAAGTTGGAATGAACTTATAGTGGTTTTTGGATCAGGAAAAGGCAACGAAACATGAAGCCCTATAGGGGCTCCTTCCGTACCTCCAAACCTCCTCAGACGGTGTTTGGACCCTCCAAACCTAGGTTCCGGGAAGGGAAGAACTGAAGGGAAGAACGAAGTCTCCAAGGTCTCTATCGAACCGTCTCTATTGACTTCGTCCACAGGTCCACGGGTCCAATCCACGGGACGAACGGCGCCACGGAGCGCTCCGTACCGCGTGGTGCGCGACCGGCATCCCTCAACGACTAAGGGACGCACGTCCTGGACTCGTAACCTCCACACGAAATCGTGGCAGCACCACCAACAACCTTTCCAACCAGGAGTCACAGAGCTCGGGGTGGTGTGGCGTTTAGTCCCCCTTACGTGAGTGGAGTAGCTGGGCACCCCGACTTCCTCCATGGATTGCACCCCGTATTGTGACTGCTGGAATGTTTTATAACTTTTATGCTAGAGTTGTTATTACGTGATATGGATTTGTATGTGTGTATAAAGATATATATAGATCTGTGTATAAGACATATTCATGCACATACATAAATGATCATAAATGTCTGTGACAGTGGGTAGATGAATGTCATTATATGTCATGCATCTTGATACTCAGCTCACGTCTATTCAGCGGTCACAACTTGTCTGTCCAGCGGTCGCGAGCCTCCAGCCACTTGGTGATGGCTGATCGCTCATAAGTGTGACCTCCATGCAAGTGGCGCGCGGCCGGGTTCAGGGGCGCGAGCTCCGCAGGGTCGAGGACAGAGACGAGGGGATGTTCGGAACATGTTGGAACTGGGGTAGGGATGGGTATACGGTAGAGTCCAGGGCCGGCACTTGGCTCTCTGGAACACAGCGGCATGCAGCAAGGCTTGCGGCTGAGTGACCGTTCAGGATCCATGTGGCTCACGATCCCAGGGCGTCACTGGTTTGGTATAATTATAATGATTTATAATGTATCATTTGATTTGGGGTGTGTTTCATGCTTGTCACCCAAAACTCACACACAAAACAGGTGGGCACCGCCCAAATCTACGCGAGCAGCCAAGATGTGCATGATGCATCATGATGCAACGACCACCGATGAAAGTGCGACCAAGTTGACACCCCAAACGCATGGCATGCCACGTGATTTTCTATCCCTCCCAGGTGGTGCAGAAGGAACTCCCAGGTGGTGGAGCCGTGCCACCTGTGAAGAATAACTGCCAAGTCCTCTTCCAACACATGACCACAGTGACTCCATGACCTCTCCATGCCAGGCATGTCTGAGCAATTCAGTACATCCAAAGGCTTTCAGATTGGAAGGCCTGGGTTTTAGCCAGCTCGAACCAGCTCGGCGCAAGCTCGCCGGCTTCAGTTCCTTTTCGTTCAACTCCGTTGGGTTCAACCAGTCCAGGCACCTCCTGCCACCCCCCCGCCGTACCCATCGGAACATCGTCCCGCCGTCGGAGGTGATCACTGGACGCTCCATCAGCTCCCTGGAGAGCAGCGGAGCAGCCGGGTCGCTTCGCTCGTCGGGAGCGACCCGGGGAGCGTTCGCGAACGAGCGAAGGCTCTGCAGCGACCTTCTGGGATTAACGGGATTCACCAGATGGGTGCAAGTGTTGTAAAAAAAAGGGGTGGAAACGCATACCTAGAGGTATGTGTCAGTCTTTGGGATTTGGGGGGTGCTTGGTCTGAGTGACTGAAGAGTCTCTGATTGAGATGTGAGCTGGTGGAGACCGCGGAAGACTAAGACCTGCTTCAATCAATCACGTTTTAGGTTGACCTCTTAAACACTCAAAGAACTGTCATATACTGATACTCTTATTACCCCCCTGCAGACTAACATGGACCCTGAACATGACCCCATGGTTTCGACCATTTTCCGAATACCAATGGTCTTGAGTCCATGTGGTCCTCGGAGGGTCGAATCCCGCTCCTGTCCCATATCCTCAGGTTCGGTGCTTAGACCCCCAACTCGACCACCCCAACCACCGAACCTGAGAACTTCCAAGAAGCGAACCGACAGGAGTCCCAGCGAACGGGGGTAGACGAACCTCCACCGTTCCGGAACGGCGCGCAAGCTGCGCTCAAACGGCAAAGCCGGGCGGGCGTGGCAGGGGGGCGCCCCAACTCTGCCACGGCTCTGCCCGTGCCGCTTGGAATCCCTTGGAAGCCTTGCGTTCTCCAGGATTTGCTGATTTGGAAAAAGAAAAGGGGAGGAAGCCCATAAACAGTAAAACACAAATCATCCTGGTCCTATAGGCCCACTATAGGCAAATCCAAGTATCCTGGGCACAGAATACTAGATCTAATAGAATGTTCCAGGCATTTCTCCGACTGTGGAGAAAAAGCTGCACTCAACAAGTGACACATGTCCAAATATGTTCAAACCACTTGCACTACCTTCAACAAATAACGGCAACAGCAACCTCCAAGCCAGCTCACCCCCACAACAGGTCACTAGGGGTCGTTGACACTTGAAGCGCACACATCTGCCCAGCACCTCTGCTGTCCCAACGCCTGGTGATCACGCAGCGGAATTCCTCCGGAATGTCGGACCTGGCACTGTCGACTGGTCGGGCTGTTGAAGGTCGATCCCATGAGATCCTGTTGCGAAGAAAGGAACTTCAGCAGCCCTAGGGCTCCAAGTACTTCCTCAGAAGGTATTTGGACCCCTCAAACCCACCCCAAACACCTTCTGAGGAAGTATTCGGAGCCCTAGGGCAGGTGATTGAACGTGAAATTGTATCTTTGTCTCTGAGCAGATGAAGCAAGGGGCCCATCGAAACAACACCTGGCAAGAAGCTGAAGAAGAAACTGGCGTGGTAGAATGATGTAGAATGTCCCCCTGCGAGTTGGGGCTGCAAAAGTTGCTCAACAATAACGGTGCACTACTACCGACCAAGCTTCCTACAAAGGTTGGATTCCTTGTTAGCTGCATATGATCACAGGTCCAACACGGCCGGTGTTTCAATCCAATGAGACCTACCTTCCCTAGGGCTGTCTCAGGTGGTTAGACCCCCAAAAACATACCCCAACCAACCCATGCAACGTCATCCTACTCGCACTATCCGACTCTGAGAACCCGTGGCCTTCACATCCCCAGGGCGAGGACGTGCTTTTGGGACAAATAAAGGGGCTTTTTGTTCGCATTGGTTGAATAGTGGTTTCAGAGGTTCGATGGCACCAGGGCCCCCGAGTTAGGTGGTTGAAAGATGGACCCCCATCTAAAAGACATCCAAGGTATATGTAAAGGAGTTTACAGTTTTACGTTTCACCCATGGCCGTACACTGGCGGGTATCCTCTCTATAAATTAGCGTTGATGGTGAAAAATAGTAAAAGGCCATCTATGAATATCCAACCCCAAACACTCCAATGCAGGGTGCAGTGTAGGGTTTCAGGGTTTCAGGGTCCAATGCAATATATATATATATATATCAGGAGTCACATGTCGGGGTGGTGTTTAGTCCCCAAGTGAGTGGATAATAGGCACCCCTAACTTACCCTAACCTCCATGGATCGCACCCCTTTGTGACTGCTGATATAGGCATATATTAGGATCCAGTCCCATGGAGGTCTTTGGGAACAGGCTGCGGTCGCCCTGCGGTCGCCCATGGGCGCTCAGCTCGTGACTCGGCGATGTTCATCTCCAACCTGAGGGAACGAGACCAGTCACACCACGTGCGAGCCGGACCTGGATCTGTACCATCCAGATTGCCTAGATGGTTCTTAAATGCTGGTTCTGGGTATAACACACATTTTGGCTGGCTTTATGGAAAAAAAAACAGAAACTTTGCATAGTTTCAAAATCCAGGACTGTCCAAGGAAAGCTGTCGAAATCCTGCAGAACCTTGAGGATCCTTCAAGCTTCCCAGTGGGGGATGGTCTCCAACAATCAGTTGTATGGGCCTTACAATCAGTTATATTAACATGTTATAACCAACACAGCAGCTGGAGTTCACATGTTTTTGTGCCAATGTCAAGTTGAACGAAGTCTTTCGAACCCTGCCGTCCATCGATTTGTTCTTTTGAACGAAGTGGAGAGCACCTCTCTTCAGCGACGATCGTCCGTTTCTGGGATGTGCGGGAGGATCTTGCGATGTTCTCGCCTGAAGAAACGGGGTATTCAAGGGAAGGTCTGGTTGGAGGAGGACGTGTCACGGGAAAACATATAAGAGACATGGTTTCTCTTGGGGTCTGCATAGTAGTAAACATGTTGTTCATTGTTCTTCCAGAGTTCTCGCTCAATGAGAGGAAGGGCTCTGATGAAAGCAACCAACCAATATGGACACATAACCGTTTACCTTTGTTTGACCCATCCACACTCTCAACGAACACATCCCTGAAAAACATCCAGCTCCAGTGAACTGAGATCTCTCACGATTCACACCACAAACTCTGCTGCTCAATCAGATCCACATCTGGGTCGACCGTGCCATCTGACATACCCGCTCATCTGCATGGTCTGGAGCTCACCCACATGCCACCAGGTTTCCAGAATCCGTCTTCAACAGCTCCCTGCCGTCCCTCAGGCAGGGTGCCCTGGGTGGAACTTGGAGTGGTTGGTGCGACCGGACCAAGCGGGGACCAACCGGTGAACCAAAAAAAATGAGAACAGACTACCAAAGAAGGTGTCAACCTCACCAAGCGCGCTTTTTTGCGCGCGGACTGAGTTCGCAAAAATGGCCCTAAGAGGGTTTGGTGGGTGCGGTGCCACCCAGAGCTGGGTCGACTGGGCCTCTGGGTCCTCAAACCACCACGCCTTCCATCGCTTCTCGTCGCCCCCCTAGGTCCCCAGCGGAACCACATTCTCCGGGCGCACACGGATGCTGCCCTTGCCACCCTGCGGGGTACAAAGAAGGTGGGAACAGGGAACAACTGCTTCTAAAAAAATAACCTACATTCTCACCCTTTCTGGCCCCAGTCGTCTGGCCGACGCACGGAACCCCTGGTACATGAAAAAAACACCATGCACGGATCGGCCCGGCCTCGAGGGTGAGTTCCCAGCGCCCGGTGCGCACGTCCAAGGCCTCGGTGGCCACCGGTCGGCCCGGTGCGACGGACGGCAAACGAGCTGGAAAAGCTCCGTGTCTGATGGGTGGAAGCGGATTCTGACTTGGTGGAGCAGCCGATTTTGGGGGGTCAGTTCCAGAAAAACGATTCTGGAACAAACAGCTGAAAATGCGGACTGGGATCCATTGATCAGACTGCCATTGGAAAGGTGTGTGACGTTGGCATCATGACAAGCAAGGCATTGTTGGCATTGTGTCTTCAAGTTGGCAAGGCTGGTCTCCTGAAGCTGTTGTGGTTCCTCCCACCAAATTGCCAAACCTTTCACCCCAACGCTGTGTTGGAAGAGCTATTGATGTAAAACAAATATATATATATATTGTATATATATAGGATTGTATAGGGAAATTTGCAGGCCCCAAAGTCGTTATAGGCTCACCCTGGTGACAACTTGTGCACGCAAGGGTGAATCGTTGATTCATAACTCCCCCATAGAAGAGCTTTTACAACCCAAAAAATGGAGGAGGGTGATTTACAGTATCAAGATTCTACAAAACGTTTTGAGGCATCATAGGGCATATGATCTGTTTTTCATACCTTTCCCCGTCTTTGTGCCCATGAATGAGACCCAAACAAAACACTAAGAGCTCCTACCAGCACCTTCCGGGTGACCACTGTCGGACCACCTTCCGCACGACCTCTTCGGACCAGCACCGTTTCCCGTTGCGAAGAGGTCGTCTGAAGTCAGACACGTTGGAAGGAATTCACTGCTCCTTTCGTCTACGAGGTTCAAGGAATTCACGGGCTATTTGGGACATATGAGCCTAGTATAAACCAGTTGCCTGTGCACTAGAAACTCCACGAGAAAACCCGCTAAAACGTCCCGGACAAAACCCCCGCGCTTTGTCCACGCCTGTGCCTGACTTGCAGGCTCCCATCTCTGTACAAGTCGGACAAATAATCTTCACTTGCACTCCCTTCAGGAGTGCGTTGCTCGCTCGCGTTCCGGGACGTACAAAGCATATGTGCAAGCTGATAAACCTGTTCCCACTCCTGCGTCAGTGGGATTAACTTGCTTCATGAGTAGAGGTTGACAACACATACCACTGAATTGGACACCACTAGCTCAACCCTGACCTGCACCACAGCACTACCTTTGTGGCGGGACAGCCAAAGGCTTTGCCCTACAGTAGGGGGAGTCGGAAGACCTGAAAGAGGCAACTCCGGCCCCTTCAACACCTATCCCCAACCAAAAAACACCATCAATGGCGAAGCATAGTCCCTCAAGGCAAACATAAGGAAATTGAATGAAATTGAAATCCAGCAGTTCTAGCTCACGGGAATCTGATGCAAAGCCTCTTTTGCGCTATCAAGTTTCGTCAGGAGTCTGAGGAAAGAATCATGATAGCATGGCATATACTGTTACTCCCTTTATCTTGCTTTTTTATGTGGGATGTTTCATATCCTAGTCTAGTCTATCTGCAATGACTGCGCCTCCTGGATAAATTAAAGGCGAACCTGTTTCCATCTGTTCAATCGGGGGGGCCGTCTTCCCCCCAAAACGGTTTTGCACACGATCCACTGACGTCTTCGGTAGTGGACGACGGGTTTCTCAGCGTTAGCGTCACCCGTTTAATCCACTGCTTCGCTGGGCCGGACGCGTTTCTTGGCTTCCTCAGTGGAAAGAGGGAGGCGCCGGCGCCGTGAAAAGCCCAGTCTCTCCACGACTAAGATGCTGGAGAACCTTGATTCCTGCATTGACCCGGACAAACCAGGTATACGTAGGTATACATGATAAAATTTATAAAATGGAGTGCTTGGGTCCTAGCTGTTGACACCCAAAGCAATAAGGAAGAGGAGTATGGGAAGGTTAGTCTTCTTTGCATGCGGTCATTGTCCATCTATATAATACATCCAAGGTATAACCTATAAGGGTGGCTAACAGTCATGGCATCATATGTCCAACTTCGTTCAGGTTCGAAGCAAAGCGTTTAATAGTCCCTGAAATCATGGTTCCGTGGATGGCATGCAGTATCTTGGCCTTGGGCCTGGGATGGCCTGGGGCCTCTGTGAGATGAGAGAGTCTTCCGCAAACTCATGAGCATCTTGTTGGTGTCAATGACACCCAGGGGAGCATGCAGGAGCACGAGGAGCAAACACAAATTTGGCTCAAACATTGTGCACTGACTGAAGGAAACTCATCAAAGGATTGATTGTGAGTCTGGTTCTCGGTCTTCATCTGACACACTATGACCTATTTGATCAATGTATCAACAGTGTGTGAAACACAACACGCACAAACCTGGACTATTTCCCTCCTACCTCCCTGTCAGAAAACTCTTGCTTCCAAAGTGTCGTAAGCTTCCACGACCTCACCCAAAGGAAGGGTCAATGATCTACAGAATGTCTCACATGGCCAACCCTCCAAGTTTCTACATCAAATGGATAGATCAAGAGAGATCGAAATACCTTGCTTGCTTCATGCCCACACGCAATTCGCAACCTGCTTCTTGGGGATTGCAGCTGGCTGACGGTGCCAGCTCAAAATGAAGGCAGCGATGCTCTTAGTCTTTGTGTGGGTCTTCCATCCTTTTACGTGGAGTGAGTTCACCACCTGTTTGCTCTGGAAAAGGCTCGTTTCGATTGCTTGGGGCTAGGTTGTCCACATGCCGTCCCATGAGGACGTTGGCCCGGGAGTGATAGCACTGCCCCGACTCTCGGTCCCTCAGTTAAAAGCTGAAGTGACCAATGTCTTACCCCGCATTTTTTTAATGCAGTGATGATGTTCTTTGTCTGTGGCTATCGCTCCAAACATGGATAACCTCTCACACAGAAGTGTCATACAAACGTCAAACATCACGTCTTCTAATGCTCTGTACGTGATTGCTCTTTGTGTCCATATTGCTCCTTAGAACGCCGTCATAGCCCTTAGCCACATCAAAATGTGTCTAAACGACTGCTTGAGACTGATGAAGTAGGACCCCGCTGCCCTGCCTGGTTTGCATCATAGGCTTCAGCTTTGAGGGCCTACCACAAACGTGGACGAAGCATGACAAAGCCTCCTTCACAACATGGGGAGGTGGGCTGACGATGCTGATGGTTGGAGATCAGATTGTGTTTGTTTAACTTGTACAACGTCTTAAGTCCCTACACAAACCATTTTGGATATCTCCATCTTCTGAGTCACTTCCATCTTCTACTCCAATACAGTGATCTTCTTCTTTAAGTCATCTCTCCCACCACTTCCACGCCGTCCCGTCCCGTCCGCCTGGATGGCAGCGATGGCCTTCTGCCGCTCTTGAGCCGCCGCGCGCTCAGCGGAGCGCGCGTCCTTCAGGGCGTCCTTCAACGCCTCCTCGGTTGGGACGCTCGAGGAGGAAGCGTGGGATGGCCAGAACAGCCGCATTCCCGTAAGAACTTGAGGGTCGTGCTAGGGGCGAGTCGTGCTGCGTACTGGTCAGTTGAGTCGTCCAAGGGTGTGCATGATGGGCTGTATTACCAACTTGTGGAGCAAAAAGGTTCTCGGATGCCCAAGCAAATCATTTCTTGGCGGAAACAGTCCATACGATGAAGCTGAGTTGCACTCTTATCATCTCTTATCCTTATCCAAAGTCTCAAAAACAACTTGGTAAGGTTATTTTCATTCGAAGCTTTTTGGGGATAGCAGCGGGGTCAAGGAAACGTACAAAGCTCAACAAGTCCTTGGATGGCCCCGAAAAAATAAATTGGTCGAACGCTGAGACTGAGGGGGCGCTCCAATCCCAAACACTTTATGTATGGCTCAACGTTATATTCCCATTTCCAGGTTTCAGTGGATGACGATGGGGCCTGGTTGCAGGCTATCCCTAAAAGAGTGATCTTCTTGTGAAACCCGACGGCTCTACAGGCAAGTTCGGACACACCCAAGGTATGGCATATTACAGTCGTTTCAGAGGTTCGATGGCACGCCTGGGCCCCCTTGTGTGAGGTGGTTGAACCATGGACACCCTGTTTTTGTTGAAAGCCATTTCGCTCCCGTGGATCCTTTCAGGCCGATCTTCACTGGGCAAACATGGAAAGTGGAGTGTGGGAACACCCTGTTTAGTAGAGGTGGCCATCCTCTAAGGATGGCCTATGACATCCATGTCTGTCCATGTCTGTAGCCCAGGGAGTGGCCATGATCCTCCAACTTCCGAAACCAAGAGAGGTTAAGTGACCTGAACTAGGACCCGTAACCTGGGGGACCCATAGGATAGCCTATAAGGTTTTTCAACCTCTGCTGGAAGGAGGGGAGAATCATCGCTCTTGCTCCATGGGAATCTTGCCTCTTGCTCTCGCCGGAGAACCTGATGATGTTTTTTGGCTGGTCACGACCGATTTGAGCGAAGGTCACTGCAGTGAGAAACGCAGGACCCATCTCTCTCTCTCTCTCTCTCCCTCTCTCTCTCCATCGCCTTCTCGAAGAGTTCAGCTAAGCTAAATGCGAGTGAAAACAACCGCACCACAAGGAAGATAGGAGTGTCAGCAGCTGAGGGTGTCAACAAGCTGCTTCATTTCTCCCACCCATATGCCAAGTAGGCGGGACATTTCAATAACAATGCAAGTTTGTTGAAAGATTTCACATCGAAAGGGCGCCTCTATCAATAGGTGATCCGCATGGATGTGGTCAGCGGATGATTCAAACAGCGTGTTCGCAAGTTCCTCGACCAAACTGGCCGCTGTGAGACTCCAGGCAACAGAAGTGTGCTTCCTCCACCCTGCGCTTCTGTCAAGTTCCAGGATATTCAAAATGCCAGCGGGCCCAACATCAGCTACAAAAACTTGCTGCCCGTGGTAGGCTCCTTGCAAGCACCGCTTCTCCCAAAATGTTTGTCAGCTGGTACCGCGAGCACATTGGCAGGGTGGGCTTGGATATCTAAGCCGTTGTGGCTAAGCCAATCATCTTGTAAGCTCTGCCAAGATAAGCGGTCCAAAGCAGTTTCCAAGGAGATGCCCCGCTGTGAAGGCTGGCCGTACTCTGCAAGCAAAGCAAAACGGAACGGACCAAGGAAGTGGGGGGCATGCGAAGCATGTGGCCAACCCAGCACCACACCATGCGTGCAAGAAGCCGATCCCAAGTTTCAGTGAAGTACGCCCCCACAACTTAACCGCATGCCGAAGAGCCTGAAGGCATTCCACAGCAAACCAAGAGGGGTGAGCACGACCTCCCAGCATCCAAGTGAGGAGCGTGACGAAATTGCACCCGCAAAGACGTGAGGTTGGATTGTTTGACAAAGACAACGCCACAAGGACCAGCGAATGGAAGCAGTGCCGAGGGAAGTTAACAATTCCAGGCGACTGCGGGGAGCAAGCCCGTGCGAAAACGCAACGGACGGTTAGCAAAGAACGCAGACGTGGCACGGCGACACAACGAAGAAACCATGTGCGCATCACCCTCAATGAGCTTGATGGTTTGCCCCAAATAGGTGGACCAAGAGCGAACGGAGTAACCAGCCAAGCAAGGAGGCAAGGCGCAAGGGATGTGAAGGCCAAAGAGGCAAGACTTCGAGACATTGACGGCCAAGCCCATGTCAGCAAAGAGTTGGAGCACTTCAGGGAGAAGCCGAGAAAGCTGGGACAAGTTGCGGATCGCATCGTCAATGAACCACAAAGCCCAGAGCGACAGAAGGTCTTGAAAGCGACCGGGCTGTGGCTTCCACCTTGTTGGGTGCCCCGCTGCCGGCACCACCACACAGAATCAAAGAGCTGAAAACGCAACAAGGAGTTGAGTAGTGAGGTGAGCACATACAAGCCAAAAGACACGGAAACCAAGGCCCGAAGCAGTTCGACACTGACTTTGGACATCCCCGTCGTTTTACCTGTCTTGAGCTGGCCGACAGCCTGAAGAACTTCACCTTCTGTGAATTCAGGTTCAACATCGGGGAGATCACTAAAGGACACCAATGAGGCACCAGGGCTCGCAAAGCGAGCCGCAAAGTGGTCATGGACGTGGGCCACAGCCCTTTGACATGATCCAGCTTTGTCAAGCAAAGGTTTGCAACGCAAGCCAACTGACATCGCCCCCTGGCGATAGAGCAGCCGCCCAGTCACCGCAAGCTGCAGGGGAAACAAGGGTCCGCTTCCACTCCTTTTGTTCAAGTTTGCGTGTGCGATGGATGGTCAAGGAGAGGTGGTGGCGACGCGCAGGGTCGGCGGAAACACTACGGTCACGACAAAGCTGACGTAAAGCAGGATAGTCACAATAGCGAAGAGCATGGGTCCGTGCAAAGCACTGGGCAGCACACCCTACAAGGCATGGGATACTGCGATCATACAACATTGTTCCACTGTTCTATTTGGGAAGGCTCCATTGTTCCACATGGGCTTCATTCCCCACGAAATGGCCATGCCAGCAGCTATCCGCCAAGATGCGTCAGCCTGCGCGTAGTGTTTGTACAACGCGGTCCTGCAGCACCACAAACACCCAAAGGAACAACATGTTGGCCCAGTGGGCCCGGTGTCGTCGTACCTCCTCAGGTTCGGTGTGACTAGACCCGAACATGGCACCCGGGCCCCCAGTCCCACCGAACCGAAACGAAGGTGCGTGCTTGGAGCCCTAGGGATTGTATACCATATCTTTAAAACACAAGCACTAACAATAACAATATTCACGACAACAAATGGTAGCCTTGTTATGCTATGTGCTACCCCCCAAAACGAACAACTACTGAAGTGCACAATTCCTCATGTAACATATGTCCTGTGCACCATGCTGTCTGTCATGACCCGTGGACACCTCCCTGAGAGCAAACATATATTATTGATTGCTGTCAACATCTGCCAACATCTCTCCTTACTTTGACAACCAACCGGTCTACCCAACTCCTTTGACATTAGTTTTATGTCATAGATCCATGATAATCCGTGCATATATAAATCATATAAATCCCATCTCCCGTACCCGAAAGCCCGGACAAAAATTCAACATCCCAATTCAACATCCCATGCTTTCCCACCGCACCGCACCGAACACCGCCGCTCCCGACGAGTCTGCGAAGCTCCTCTCGGCCGCCGCGGTCTTCTCCGCGAGGCGCGCCGACTTCAACGACTCTTTGGCCTCGCCTTGGGAGAACACGAGGACCGTGGTGGTTCGTGCGAAGCGAAGAATCAAACGGATCCCGGTGGACGAGGGTGACGGGGAGAGAACGTGTGTCATTTGATTGCCTTTTATGGTCTTTTCATTGATGGGGGGGTCCAAGTGAACAGCCCTACTCACGAAGAACAATAAGGTGTGCCAACATGATATTCCAACTTTGCAGAATGTGTCGATCCACATATATGTTCTTCATCTGACAATGTGTCCTTTTCTGGTGCGTACTCACGTACTCAAGGGGCGCTTGGTGTCGATGCGACAGGCTCGGTTTGTTTTTGTCCACTGAATCCCGTCCGTGTTCGTTTGTTCTGGTCGACTGGCTTTCTGTCTTCCGTTGGTGACTTAATGACCACATGTGAGACCACTGGTTTTCACTGGTGTTTGGAAAGTGACCACCGGGTTTTGGTGAAAGTGATTGTACCAACCACATCCTCAGGTTCGGTGGTTGGGGTGGGTGCCAGGGGGAGTCTAACCACCTTCTGAGGATGTGATTGGAGCCCTAGAGGTATAGGAAATCTCCTCCGTCCAAGTGACCAGGAAGCCAAGCGAGCAAGGAAAAGGAGGGGTGCTCTCGCGGGCGCACCGGTGATTCACATTTAAAGGATGGAAGTGAAACATGGAATGTTTGAATCAAAACGGAACACTGGCAAAGGCTGTTCCTCTCAAATAAGGTGTTGCTGTTGACCGTACTTTCAGTATGATGTTTCTTCGATCACTGGCACCCTGTTCGGTGTCTTGTAACCGATGTCTTTCCTCCTAGGAAGGTGCGACTAGATCCCGAAGGAAGCAGCGGGTGTATCTCCTTCAGAGCTGTTCCGAAAGATTCCAGATTCTCCCGGGTGGACTGTCGCGGATTCTGTCTGCGCCCCAAGTCGCTGATGCTCGCTCGCCACTCGTCCCGTTTTCGCTTCCTGCGCTGGTGGGCACACGTCCCGCGGGGTGGGCAGTAGTTGAGGCAAGAGCAGGCAGTGAACACTATAGCCAAAGTATCAGCTACATAACTTTGGTTGCAAGTGTGTTCAGGAGGAACTCGCAAAGGACCACACCATACTCCGAACAAATTGCCGCATTTGTCGAGTGCTTCAGTGGCTTCAAGTCTTTAATGTCTGTTCTCTCAAAGACAGGCGCAGGACATCGCCCTCCGCTGCCTTCGTCGCTGGCGTTCGCCCTTCCTACCTGCCTGGTTCGCTCGGCTTCTTCGACCTCTAGGCATTGCTGCTGCGCCTCGCTGAGCTGCTGCTCCAGTTCTGCCAGCTCCGCTTGCCACGCCTCGAGCATGGAGCAAAGCGATGTGTGGCGGCAAGAGTGGTCCTCCACCAGCATTTGGGTGAAATGCAAACATTGAGGGAAAGCATCCACCATGAATCTGAAATGATCGGTGGATACTTACTAACATCATCTAACATCTATGATCACATTCTTGGGTTTTGGTTGAATGCAAGTGTGGATATGACTGTGAGAAAATAATCTAGAACGACAACAGGCCATGACCGTTGAGAATGTCACCTTGACCCGGGTCTTCCCAATTTCATATATCTCTACTGCAAAAGGACTTGCAGCTTGCAGTAGAAGCCGCCTACCCAGCCACCGTGAAAGCCGGCGCCCTTGGAGGAGATGCTATAAGAACAAGAAAGGAATACACTCCAACTCACTAACATGGGGGTGGAGTTCACCCCCCTGTTCGCAAAGGAAAGTCGTCTTCCAAGGGACTCCTTGGACTATGTTCCCCCTGTGAAGACCATTTTCCTCTCCATGTGTTCTGTTCGTCCGAGTGCCAGCAAGTCAGTCTCTGGGATGTTCATACCTCGGAACTGGAACCATACCTGAGATGTCGTGTAGCAAGCATGTCTGAAATGTCATGTAGGTGTGCACTTAAATAGGAAAGCCCCCCTGTTCGCAATGGGTAGACTGGTCTATGTCCATGATTTCCCTTCGGTGCCTGGGAGGATCGGTTCGGAGGGTCTCCGTATCTTCAGGCACACTAATTCACACTCACGTCTGTTGTGTTCATCCACCTGGTTGTCTTTTGCGTGGTGCTTCCCCCATCAGCAACTTGCGATTGGCTGTCGGGGCACCTGCATCTCCTTCGACGCTTTGGCCAGGTCTTTCTCGACTGCTGCATGTCCTGGGAGCTGGACGAAGAAATTCCAAACAACCGTGGCCGAACTGCCCACATGTTTATGTCACCTTGAATGAAGAACAAGAGTTGCTACACATCATATACACGTTGCCATGGTTCAGCGAGGCTGAAAGCAAACAGGTCCAGCTACATCAACCAGCCAGGGCAGTTACAGTAAATAGATGTAAATTGTAAATAGTATGAACTAGTCTTATTTGTTGAGACACTGTTTTCTTGTCTGCTGAATCAAGTGAAATGGACCAGCCTAGAAAAGTGGCTACACGTCCTGGGATACTTGCCAAGCAAGTAGGAAGTTCTAGGATGCTCTCGAATATTAGGCCAGTACATATCGGTGAGTGTCACATCTTACTGCTGCCGCTTTCATGAACATGGCGGAGAGGTGTCAAATGCAAATGCATTAGGCACAAGCTGCAGCATATCCCAAATCCAGCATGATATTCCAACGACACCACCACCCGATTCCCCCACACCAAGGATTTTCGCTCTGTGGATGGCGCGCTCTGAACGGCTCCCTGTTCACCAAGGGAAGATATATACCCCATGACCCCATCCAGCAACCTGAGCCATCGCCTCCCTCCGAATCACCAGCGACCTGAGCCGCTGCCTGCCCTGCAGTGAAGCTTCTGGCTTGTTGCTCTTTGACTTTCCGCCCAGCCGCCAGCCTGAGGATTCGATCTGTCATCAGCTTGTATCACACAGGTGCCTACTTGCGTTTTCGGGCGAGGAAACGGAACGGAGGATTCACCACAACTGCCTGGAGATAAGTGGGAGATAAGTGGAGATAGAAAAGAGATTTCCAAGTCAAAGCTCTGGGAAACAAATCAATCACTCTGAACTTACATTACCATTACAACAAGGGGAATTCCCAAAATCTCACAATTCTGTCAAATAGACTACCAACCTGTCAAATAGACTATACCCAGGTGTCTCTGTCCAAAATGCCCTACGGCACGCACCCAAAAACACCTCCGGCCTGGAGCGCCGGAGTCGGCGCTCGGCGGCCTGCGCCTTGGCGGCGTCCTCACGGTGCTGGAGCAGCTGAGCCCAAGCCTCTTGGAGCTCCTGCGGAGCTTTTCGGATGGAGAGGCGCTGCCAAGACCGACTCGTCGAATTTTTCTTTCACAGCGGTCGAACGGTAGAACCGAAGTCTTCGTGGAGGAAAAGCAGCGTTCGCTTGATTTTTGTTAGCACACCCTTTGGGAGAACATGGAAGATTAAAATTAGTAATATGGATGATGTGATGATGTCTTGACGACATCAAAATACATCCAGCGTCTACCAACGACCAGGCCCCCCCATTTGGGGTGCTTCATGGACACAACCTCTTAGACACGCCAACGGAGGCACTGGGGGAAGCCACCCCGGAATCCGGGCTGAATGAAGATCTAGGACCAGGTTTGCAAGAACTCAGAAGTTTCTTTCATCTGCAGCCCAGCAAAAATCCCGAAAAGAGACACACTGCGACACTGTAAAATCATTGGTTCTGACCTGACCCACGCACGCTTGAATGATATAAGGAACTGGCGGAGTTGCTTTGAGTGTTTGTCCTTTGAGTTTGAAACACGGAACTGGTTCGATCTTTCATGAGATTCCTCATGGGATTCTCGCCTGGTCCTGGTCTCGTGTAGCTTCCCCACCCGAGTTGTCCAGGAGCTTCTTGAGCTCTGCCATGGCCTGCATCATCGAAAAGGGTGTTCAATGAATATCTATAGGAGTGGTATGGAGTAGTAGCAAAAAGGCTAGTGCAGCAAAAGGACACCCCTTCACAACACACCCAAAAGCTGAAATAGTCATCAAGAGTGGAAAAAAACAAAACGCGCCATGATCCAGGGTCCTCCCTTCGGGACCATGTTCATCCCATTTGTTCACTCCCGGAGTGCCGGGCGGTGCGAAAAACGTGCCACTGCACGTGGTGGCAGATGCGGAACTCACAGGATGTCGTTACCCCTAGGCTTCCAAGACCATTCAAAGAGTTCGGTTGACCTGGTTGCGTAGTGTAAAATCCTTAGTAAAACAATGGTTGTTGGAAGCCTAGGGGTTACAATATATACATAATACTAAACACTCTATAATTTGCCTTAATGCACTTTACAAAAAGTCCTGTCCACAGCTGACGTTGAGGCAACAAACCCCGACTCTCGCCAACAAATGCATACATGACAACTAGGGCTGCTTGAGAAGTTCTGAGCTGAGTTTGAGGTTGCTTTTGTATTGAGTGAGGAGGTGAGGAGCTGTGGGCCCAAGAACATGAGCATGAATGAATTCCTGCAAGCGTGCTTGGACGCTCGTGAACAAAGTGTCTTTTTGTTGAAAAGGGTGTGATTCATGCATGTACAAGGCAGGTGGGTTGAAGTGGGTTGCGGCCGCAATTCCAAGCATCTGCAAAAGCTGCCTGATTCAAAACATCTCAGCCTACCTTGTGGGTTCTTGCATATCCAATACTGGTGGATGGACTAGTAGATGGAGAGTAGAGTCAGCACAATCCCCAAGTTCGGTGGTCAAAATATGAACCCATATGAACCCTAATGTCGACCATGTAGGGGTGTCTGTAGGGGTTAATGCCATCGATTCGGAAGCGACGATGTAAAACCGTTTGGGGAACGGCCTGGTTCAACTGCTCCACAGCCTTGGAGCTTAAGACCGTGGCCTGGAGCGAAGGTGAGCGAGAAGGACCGTGTGTTTTGAGATCTCCAAGCCGCACGCAGAAAGGAACTCAAAGGCACTAAACATGGGTTAATTACATGGTTCCTGGATGGCATTCTGTTTAGTCGCTATACGACCGTGCAAGGTGGCAATCTGAACTTCAAAGGGTTGCATTTTGTTGAGGCAAGCTTTGCCCCTCAAGAATACTGCATAGCTGACTAAACATTGAAACAAACCGCTCAACAATGCAATTGAAATGCACACCTCCGCCTTTCATAGCATCTTGCAACAACTATACCTACCATTACCTACCCATGTAGCTCCTTGTTGCACTCCGAATCCCAAACCACAAATCCATTGATCCATAGTGCAATCTTGCGGATTGACAGTCGTTTCGCATGGGGAACGACCTCGCCTTCGCCAAGGACTTCTCCGCTTGCGCTTTCTCCTTCTCCGCGCTCCTTCGCGCCTGGCCGAGGAAGGCGACGGCGCACGGAGGCGCGCTGACGAGGCAGGAGACCACCCCTGGAGCACACGAGCGGCGCGACGACTCCAACAGCTAGGAGTGATGAACAGGAAAACGGTGACCAAAAAAGGAAGCACAATGGATATTATGTATAGAGGCCATGTAGTGAATCAATGGATGTGTGTGGAAGTGGATATAGTCATGCTAAAAGCGCCATAGAATGTGAGACAATCCCAAAGCCTGGAAATACATATGTGCTTGGAACCTATTTCTCAGTCGATCCTCAGAATGAAGATGTGATAATCCAACCTTGGCAGTCCTTGTGAATCCCCTCCTGTATAGATCCCCTGGGCTTCTAACAACCCTTGCTTTACATTGTTGCATTGGTCTTTACCAAAGAGCCATTGTTTAAATAATTAAGGGCTCTAGACTACAGAACCAGGTCAATCTCCAGCTAGGCTTCTCCTGTTTCACTAGTCCTCTGAGTCCTTCTCATCACAACGCCGTTTGAGCGGCCGCGAGCGGTTGGCGCACCGCTTGGGAGGTCTTCAGCGGCACGGAGCCACTGTGGCCCAAGCCCTGCATGACGATGTTCATCTCCGCTTGGCACCTGAGGATGACGTTTTCCCTTTGTTTTTCTCCAAAAATTTCAACATCGCAAAAGAAAAGGCGCAGAAATGATCAGATTGCATGATTGGACTTGACTTTAGTTGCATCTTCCAACCACAAACGGCAAAGAAAACCTTGATCTTTTAGAATGCCTTGCAACTTGCAACATAGAAATTGTGGAGAACTCCGGGCGTGGTGCTCTCCCAAGTGGTGATTTAGATGGGGCCCCAGTTCTTGGTGGTGGTATTTTGTCCAGTTCTTGGTGTCCTCCCCCCTGTCCAGATCTTCATATTGCATATACAAAGGGTGCTGAAGAGTCCGTGAACTCTATGGGATGGGTCAAGAGAAGTAGAGGGAAACTTGATGAAGACCGTCTGGAAGCGTAGCATCTTCGTTCGCTCTTTCTTCAAAGCGCTTAGACCGACCTACTTATATGGATCTCCAGCATGGCACCATTGGGTGGTCCTGGCATGTGTTTCTTTTAGGGACGTGCGCATGTCTGACCTGAGAGTCGTAAGATTCAGTATATACTGGTGCAAAGGAACATGGTCTTCATGTGGCTCACCTAGCTAGCAGCCGATCCCGCAAGAGCACGAGGGATGCCAGGGATGCACCATATTGCAACCCTGAGACCATCTAATTGAAAAGAATTTGATAAAATCAACCATGACTTACAAAGAGGGTAGTTTTGAGTCTCCAAAGTATATACTGCAGTAAGTGGATGTTCTGGGCACTCATTTCTAACTGGTGGAAATACGTCTTTCGTGCCACCAAACGCACATATATGGACCTGGATGATGAAGGGATCTGCTAGACACGGCTCCTTTCGGGCCAGACTACCTCAAGGATGGGCCAAAGCACTCCTCATAGCGGCTCTCGATCTCCAGCAATTTCTCCTCAGATGAAAGAGTCATAGAAAGGCGCATGAAACAGGTGTGTATTTAAATAGGGAGACCTCCCAAAGACCCCTTGAAGAAGGACAATAGACCTAAACCCATGGGTTTGGAGTACCAAATTACACCCCCACATTAAGAATGTGAGTTTGCCCAAACTCTGGCGTTTGAGCAGGGCGAAGGCATCGGTTCTGCATGTGGAATCTGGGTGAATTACTAACTCTTGGCCATCTCAAGACATGTGCAGTGCCGCAGGTCCTCCAAGACTCAATGAGGGGTTTGTGTCATGAAGTGAACCTTACCAGGAGTCACAAAGGGGTTGTGTTTAGTCCCCAAGTGAGTGGATAATGGGCACCCCTAACCATTAAGCACCCTTTTGTGACTGCTGGCATGTGTTCTTTTGCAAGTTTTCTTTTTCTTCACGCCACGTCCCACGTTTGCCGGATTTACTGGTGTCATCATCTGGTTTGCCAGGAAACTCTCGATTTTGAATATCTCCAGAACCTTTGTGTAAATCCGGTATATCAGTGCAAAATGGTTTGTTACTGTAAGCCTTGGCTTGACTTGAGCAACACCATGAATATTGCAGAAGCAAGCAATGGGCAGGCAGCAAACCAACGAGCAACACTTAGGCCAGACCCGGACTTTGGGAAGTCTCGCACCCCATCTCATGAACTCCGTCTAAACACCGCAACTTTTGGACGTATAAGGCCATCCCACCTTTGAAGTGGTAGTTAAATTCTTCTTCCTGCTTGGCTGCCTTTTCTGCTTCTTCTCTCCATGGCTCCCACTCGTCATCCATCGATCTTTTGGCCTCGCCATGTGCCTGTAGAGCTTCGGCCAGCCGCGCAGGCACCTGGCAGTTCTCATGTCTAGTGAAAGATGTTCTTTGGGGGGGAGAGTTCCGCCGTGCTCGGCTGCGCCCTTCATCAAGTTGAATCAATCAACAGATTAAAGGTTTTCCCACTGACTGGGTAGGTGATTCATTCACCTGGAGTCTGGAGAGGTTCTGGCTTTTTGAGGGATGACCTGATTCCACCGTGAGACATGCCCAGCTACTGGGAAAGCAGCTTGTAATTATCTGTGCTTGGTCTGCGAGACAAGTTGCCATGAACTCGCAAGTAATATCTGTCCATCTCCACATCCGGAACTACTTGCGTTTGAGTGAGGGTCCTGCCATCTGTCAATCCAAGTCCTCTTCCAAGATGCAAGTAACGCGCAAGTAGCCAATGCTAGTCACTAGAGTCACTAGAAACAGTAATTAAACCAGAATTCCTTACTCCCTGCGACCACTTCTGTGGGCAACCACTAGGGCGGGCCACCTCAGAATCATGAAAGACCAAGCATCAAGAACTCCCTCAGTTTCCCTGGAAAATCAAGGCTAGCCTTTTCAGGCCTTTTTCCATCTGTTCATCGAAACGTCTTCCCAAAAAATAACCACTTGCAGGTGATCCAGCTACTTCCCGTCATCCGGCAACCCCCCAGTCCGTCGACTCGCTGAGATCCGCTTGGAACATCCGCGCCTTGAAGGCATTCTTCGCTGTGTTGGCCAACACGATCTGAAGGGCCTCCCAGGGCGATCGATGTCACATTTTGATGGCAAAGCAATGAACCGTGGTAATTCACAACCCAATAGTCAGCGCCACCCAGGAGGGGTGGTTTACAAATCCCCCTGACAGAGCTTGTTCCATCAAATCGAAAAGCCGAACTGGGTGGTGCTGGAGATATATGTTCAATTCATATATGCAGAATATGTCAGTCAGTTCTTGGATTTGCTGTCCAGGAGCCCGGGAAAGTAACATACATATTCACCCAGAAACCGGAGATCTACCCAGAAACCAGGCATATATAGAACATCAACATACATCAACCTCTTAACCCAATAACCCCAACGTGTTGAAAAACCAGTCTCGATCGCACCTCCACCAGCTTCGCCACGCGGCTTTCCGCCGCGGCCAGCCCTTGGCTGGCCTCTGCCGCTGAGGCCGTGGCGATGGCCGCCTGAGCGTGGCCCAAGGTCGGCAGGTGAGCTGCTAGGGGGGAGTCATCCAGGAGCGCCCAGGCGCCTAAGGCCTAAGGAAGCGCTGGAGCTTTAGGCTTATGGAATTCCCCTTGATTTCCCAACACCTCTGCTTGGAAAGCAATCCAATGGCATCCCCCCTGAAATCATCGGCGGCTTTTTCTGCCCCTCTGCCTATGGAGTCTGGGGTCAGTCCACTCCCATGGGAGGAGTTGACGGGAAACCCCTGGTGGTCCTGGTCTGCCAACTTGATGGTGATATGTGCTTTCGAGATGTTCCAGAATCAAGTGCATCCTTTTTCAACTCCATATCATCCTGTTCCATCTGGTTATGACTGTTGTTTTTTGTTAATCGTCCTCCATCTATAAGCCATCTATAGTTTATATATAGTCCCAGTCTATGTATGCCTCATGAAAGTTCTCTATCTCACCCAGTGACTATTGCAGCACGACCCTCCAAATGGTCACGTCAAATGGTCACTCCAAAGCGGCTTCTTCCGAGAGCTGCTTCTGTTGCTCATCTGCAGCAGTCACTTCCTTCAAGGAAGCGTCCCTGGCTTTGGTGGCTTTCTCCTGAAAGCGCTGAAAGCCCACCATGGGCGGCACGAGGGGGCACGTTAAGCTGCACAAGGAGCGAGGGAACAACTATCTAGTGCCCTTGTGGTGAATCGTTGTGTCATGGTCCAAGGGTTGTGTCTATTTCAAGTGCTGTATGACATGCAAACGGTTGGCATGGGTACTGAAAGAAAATTGAACAGGGAAAAAAACACATCCAGTGAAACAAAACATCACCACCTGTGACCATGATATCCCACCTCGATGATTCACATGCAAAACTACAGCATATGAGACTCATTTGAGGCTAAGGAGATCATCCGAACGTATCATTTGTGCATGGCCGCGGCGCTGTAACAGAGACCACAACTGGATGCACAAAAATTAGCACCAGAAAAATGCTTTAAAAAACCTTTAGATCCAATTGGCACTCTCACCACAGGAACTCCTTTTTTCACTCTCATCTATAGGCCCTCCTGCCTGGTGAAGCCATGGGAAGACACAAAACCCTTCCATCAAGCAACACATCAGTAGGTTGTGAAAAAAGATATACCTCAAGTAGCATTAAATAGGTCAAGTGGTGTTAGTCTATAGTAGTAGTTGTTTCGGTCCTGTGGGAATTGGGACGTGCTTTGTCTTTAAATGCTTTCGTGGGGCAGGGTTGCGTGGGCAATACGACGGTTTTTCTTTTAAACAGATTTCGTGGGGCGGCCCGGGCAACCGGGTGCTGCTATTCCCTGTAAATGCTTTCGTGGCGCCGGGTCCTGTGGGAATTGGGGCGCATCCGGGGCAGCGCTATTCCCTGCAAATGCTTTCGTGGGGCCGGGTCCTGTGGGAACGGGGGCACCGCTTTGCCTTTAAATGCTTTCGTGGGGCTGGGTCCTGTGGGCAAGCCGACTGCTTTTCCTTTTCAAATGCTTTTGTGGGGCTGGCCATTGGAAACGGGGGCGCTGCTTTTCCTGCGAGCGCTTTCGTGAGCCGGGTCCTGTGGGAATTGGGACGCCGCTTTGCCTTTAAATGCTTTCGTGGGGCTGGTTCCTGTGGGCCCATTTTTCCTTTTAAATGTTTTCGTGGGGGCCCTGTGAGAATTGGGGCTGGGTTCTTCAAATGCTTTCGTGAGGCTGGGTCCTCTGGAATTGGGCGGGCCGCTTTTCCTTTAACTGCTTTCATGGGGCTGGACCCTGCGAGCCGGCGCGCGGAACCGGGGCTCGGCCTTCCCTGTAACGGCTTTCGTGGGGCTGGGCCCTGGGGACCGGGGCGCCGAACCGGGGCACGGCTCTGGCGGCTGGGTCCTGGCAACGCTTGCGTTTCTAGCCTTTCCCTTGTGTTTTTTCTTGTGCTAGATTTCGTCAAATCTGGTGCTATTTTTTGTGCTTCCAGTTGTGCTTTTTCTGGTGCTAAATTTCGTCAAATCTGGTGCTAAATTTCGTCAAATCTGGTGCTAAATTTCGTCAAAGCTGGTGCTAAATTTCGTGAAATCTGGTGCTAAATTTCGTCAAATCTGGTGCTAAATTTCGTCAAACCTGGTGCTAAATTTTGTGCATCCAGTTGTGCTTTTTCTGGTGGTAAATTTCGTCAAATCTGGTGCTAAATTTTGACAAATCTGGTGCTATTTTTTGTGCTGCCAGTTGTGCTTTTTCTGGTGCTGAATTTCGTCAAATCTGGTGTTTAATTTCGTCAAATCTGGTGCTAAATTTTGTCAAATCTGGTGCTGTTTTGTGTGTTTCCAGTTGTGCTTTTTCTGGTGCTAAATTTCGTCAAATCTGGTGCTAAATTTCGTCAAAGCTGGTGCTAAATTTCGTCAAATCTGGTGCTTTTTTTTGTGCTTTCAGCTGTGCTTTTTCTGGTGCTAAATTTTGTAAAGTCTGGTGCTTTTTTGTGCTTCCAGTTGTGCTTTTTCTGGTGCTAAATTTCGTCAAATCTGGTGCTAAATTTCGCGCGTCCAAAATGAACCTGCGAGCCAAAAGCAGATCGCTCGGAGCACTTGGCCTCAGCAGCGTTTGACTTTGTCGTGGCCGCCTGTGCAGTTTCTGGCGCTTTCCTGGTGCTTTTTCCGGTGCTAAATTTCGTCAAATCTGGTGCTCTTTTTTGTGTTTCCAATTGTGCTTTTTCTGGTACTAAATTTCGTCAAATCTGGTGCCTGTTTTTGTGCTTTTTCTGGCGCTAAATGTCGTCAAATCTGGTGGCCCATTTCGTCGGCCAAGCAGCTGTTAGGGTTTAGGGTTTATAGGGTTTTGTGAAGATTTGGTTTCGTCTTGGCCTCTGTCTAACCTGCAAGCAACAGGAGGTTGGAATCGTGACCTCCACTTCTGTTCCGCGGCCGGTCTTGCTTCTAGTGATTGGTGTGCTAGATTGTCACATGAAAATATTTCACTTATATAGATTTGTCAAATCCAGCAATGAACATGTAGACTGTGGCGGCTGGGGCTGGTGTTGGTCTGGTGCTGGGGCTGGCTGGGGCTGGCTGGGGCTGGGTGCTGGGTTGTTGGCGCTGGTGCTGGTGGTGCTGGTGGTGGTGCTGGTGGTGGTGCTGGTGGCGCTGCTGCTGCTGCTGCTGGTGGCGGCTGCTGGGGCTGGTGGGGGCTGCTGTTTGGTGCTGGGGGTGCTGGTGGTGGTGGTGGTGATGGCTGCTGTGGTGCTGGTGCTGGTGGTGGTGGAGAGGGCAGAGGAGGGAAGGAGAACAGAGGAGAGGAGAGGAGGAGAGGAGGAGAGGAGAGGAGAGGAAAGGAGAAGAGAGTGGAGGGGAAGAAGGGGAAGAAAGGGCAGGAGGGGCAGGAGAGGAGTGGAGCTTTGAGCATGAAGGAGGGAGGGGTTAGCATATTCAAAATCCATTTGGAGAGGCCCCAGGTAATGATGAATTATCCAGGATTTCCTGGTGCTAAATTTTGCTGGTTGTCTTAATAAAGAAACCTTTTTGCAGAGTTACAGGGGGGTGGCCGGACTCAACGTATCATTTCCCTTGAGAGCTTCTTGAACCTGCCTGTTCGTGTGATTTTTGGGATGCAGTTGATCTTTCATGAGCTAGGTGCTCTTGCTCAAAAACAAAGATGCCACGCTTGAGAAATAAAGTCAGGAGCCCAAATCCCTTCACTGGGGAGCACACACACCAGGTTCTTATACATAGATGAATGACATATGTACGTAGATAGAACGTCTGCAGTCTCACGTTCAAGCTTTGTGTGCACAACGCCCTGACCCACTGAACAGTAACCTTTTTACAACACATGTGGGAGAACATGTTGACAAGACATGATTCACGATCAATGAGTCTATCGCTACCTATTGGTGCCAAGGCAATGGCTGCGTTGATGTTCCCCAAAGACTCATGGACCCTCAAACTGATACATGCTCGAGGTCCAGAACCCTGATTTTGAGGATCAAAACCCTGGCGAACTGAAGATCCAATGAGCCCTTATGTATGTTCCGGGCAGCCCAGGTACCACGTCTGCCATGATCATCGCCTCATTCCGTTTCCATTGCACCACCGCAGCCTGCCCCGAAGCTGGGAATTTGGCACTGGCTTAGCAGTCACACATGAAACTGGCTAGTCTGGAACAGCGACTCCGAAGGCACCTCCTGATTGTCGCGCCGTGACAACAAAGGGACAACACACAGGCACCATTTCTGAGATGTCGCGCCGTGTGAGCAACAACAGGTCGCTTCCGCCCCTTGGATCCTGTTTGCGAACGAGTCGGTGTGAAAAAAAAAACCAAGCAACTTCAAGCCAGTCGTCACGATTGGGATGGTGAACGGCGAAGTCACAATGCACATTAGCTTAGAGGTGCTACCATGAGATCCCCAACCCTCGCAAAAAACAGATCCTTTAAAGCCAGTTCGGGCTTTCTGCTGGGGAGTGGCAGTTGAAACCAAGAAGCAAAGCCGCTGGCAGCTACTGGTGAGGTCTGCAACTCGGGATTCCAAGGGCACCTGTCAACCTACAAGGGGTTCAGGCTGGTTCGGCTGGTCGTTTCACCAGCTCGCACTGCCTGGGCTCGCTTCACCTGGCCATTCGCCGCCTTCCGCGCGCCAGTGAGATCTCGTTCATCCTGAGGCGGGACAGGGCGAAGCGGCGAAGTGAGAGGCTTTGTGGATCACCATACTCTCCCTGCAACTAACATGGTTACGTGGACAACCCCCTGTTTGTAGAGGAAAATGGTCTTCCAAGGGGCCATTCTCCACTTCAATGTTAGTTCTAGGGAGTGCAATCACTATAATACCCACTATAATACCCACTTCCCACTATAAGTGTCCAATAGATCACATGCAATACCACCAACTTCATCCCACTTCCTGTGGAGCTTCAACGACCATTCCGCTTGGAACTCATTCTGCAACGCTGGTTGGACCTGATTAGCACAGGTGTCCGGGAAATTGGTTCCCAGGAAGTAAGCCCATAAGGGCGCCCCAAAAGCAGGGGCATCCGAACGAATTCTCTGGAAGTCCAAGCTGGGTCTCTTCCAAGTTTTTCTTAGGTGTAGGGTTTGAGGGTGCGATCTTCAGGGTCTATGAAGGCGAAGTCCAACCGGCTCTTCGAGGACCAGCCGTCGGACGATTTCCAGTCCAGCCGGACAAGGCGGACACCCAAGACAGTCTCTACCAGCAGAACCACAAAGGGTCGGTGATTTCACCCTGTGCACCCACTCACAAAAAGACCTCCTATAGTCCTTAATGTGTCTTTTTTCTATAGACTGTTGACCAACAACCCTAAACCTGCAACTTCCTGGGCCTTCCTAGGCTTTTCTCATGCTGAACATGAATCGACCTCCGGGTCAGTCTCGGTCTCCAGCCCTTCTCTTCTCCTTCTCCTCCCGGATCCGATGCTCGACCCCGAAAGCCCTTTCTCCGCCGCGGCCGTGCGCGGCCGCCTGGGTCTTCTGCAGTTCCTGCTGGGCCTTTTGGAGCGAGGTCTCCACCTGAGACGCTTGATCCGACGTCGGTCCGACGTCGGTCCGACTCGGTCCCGGGGGCAGGGATCGAAGGGTGGCGGGCGCGGCACGCAGTTCGGGTGAACGCTGGCACAAGGTCCGTAAAGCTGGAATTGTCCCAGTGAAAAGAGGCAGTTCTGTGTCAACATCGGGCACCAAGCACAGCAAACAACCGACTACGAGTCAAAATCTCACTCCCAACCGTTGCATCACAAAACGTTAAACTACAGAAACCCCCAAACAATGGGTTGACCGGTCTATTGTCCTTCTTCCAGGGGGTTGTTGCCAGGTCTCCCCAGGCTCCGAAACCACGACGCCTCCAGGCGAGTCTGCGCAGCCTTTCCCGCCGCTTCCTCCGCCACCTTCAGCTGGGCCTTCATCAGCCTGCATCGGCGCGGTCGGGAAGGCGGGAAGGCGGAAGAACGCGGTGAGTGATGCGTTCTGCGGTTGGGTGACGTTGCGACGATGAGGGTGATGGTAGACATGATCATGAAGATGATGGACGAGGAGCAGGAGGATGAATCGATGAGTAAATACATTTACAAATGAACCCCAAAAAGTGCGACGTCAACGCTTCCGGCGCCTGACTTCTGGTGCCATTTCTTCACCGATCTCCTCCTGAGGAAAGCACTCAGGAACCAACATGGAAGTGAAAAACCCTGTCAGTAGAGGAAATGGCCTTCCAAGGCGGTGCCATTTCCACTTCCATGTTAGTTCCAGGGAGTGTATATGAGTGTATCATCTTAAAAGGGTATGTACGAATCTTATACACTTGGATTTAGATGCAACACATTTTGCAACAAGCATATGCTTAAAACAGTAATTAGTAGTTATATATAGTCCTAAATTCTTTCAGTTGAGGAAAACAACATGGAAAATCCAAGCAAATTCTTTGAAATGTTTGTTTCTTGGGGCTCCGTATATACAGTGAACCAACACAAATGGTCGCGCTTTGACCCCGCTGTTAATCTGGAGGTGCAGCCTAGCGATGACTTCGGTCTACAGCCAAGGAACAGTGCATTATTTAATACCATGGGTCTTGCCTTCTAGAAAGAGGTACTGCCTACTAGATCTCGCAAAGAAAAAAACTGCCGCTATGGTGCAGTCCGCAAGCTTTCTCAACACTCCTTCTCTTCACCCTGGGGTGCTACTGAGGTTTCTAGCTTATGAAGCAATAGGTTTAAGCTGGTTTAAGGTTTTGATGGCCCCATCCTGATGGAAAGCCGACACTGGAAGAAAACCTCGTTCAAAAAGGCGTTTGGCTTCGCCTTTTTGCGGCCCACCCTGTTCCCCAAAAGTTCGGAACTGACCAGTCAGGCAGTACAAGAGATGTTTATCTTCGGCCCGAAGCGAGCAGTTCCCCGTTTGATCAAGGTCACCTCTTGAAGTCGTTGCCTGCTTCTCATGTGGACGTCAGACAAGCTCAAGCTCGTCAAGCCGCGGTCCTCTCCCTGGAGTGTCTGGTACAAGTAGGAGAAGCTACTGAGTCCCGCCACATTCGTGAGGCCCGGATCACTCACCGCTGCGCAGTCCTGGCGTTTGGCGCGGCACTTGGGCGTTTGGGCGTTTGAGCGGTCGGCCCTGTCAGCGCAGACCTCCCTGCTTCGGTTTCAGCTGTCGCCTCGCCTCGATGCCATGCATATCCCGGAGCAGCTTGCGGGTCTCGCCCAACTTGGGGTCCGTCCACTCGAAGAGCCCATGGATCTCCTCGGCCGTGAAATACCTGGAAAGCCGGCCGAACCGGCGGACTCACCGACACGCTGGGACCGTGGAGGGTGTGGAGGGTACCCATGGGCGGGGGTGTGGGTGTGGGTGTGGACCAAGCATGGTGTGGATGAAGAGATTTACCAAATGTTTTGGTAGAACACCCAGAAGTCTTGTTTCATCTCACTTGCTGAATAGAACCGTGATTGTCATCTCGTCCAACTCCAACATTCAAGAACCAAGGGGTTCACTATATACACACTATCATGGGCAAGGTGTTGGACACACAAAAAGGATGCTCTTGGTCTGCCTTTCATGGCCACGCCACTTGTGTCCAAGGCCAAGTGACCGCTGTTGCTGCTTGGTCTCCAAGGCCGTCTTGGTCAAGCCCATTTTGAAGACCTGCAACCGGAACCTGAGCATCCAAGAACACGGAAACAAAACACATCTACAGGAAATCCAAAGTTTTGGAGTGAAAGCCATGGTTCCCTGTAGATGTTCCCTTAAACCAATCCATTGAAGGACAGTCCAAAGTTGGACTAGACTGACTAGAACTCTCTCTCGACTGTTTCTATCGCACGGTCTTCAGGAATCATTGCCGGGATTTCCACCTTCAAATCTACCTGAGACAAGGAAACCCAAAATCTATGATCGAGCTGAGTTGGAAGCTAACATATGTGCAACCCAGAGATGTTTTCCAATTCCAAGAAGAAGGACATGAAGGTTTCCCATCCCAAAGCCCATCGAAGCCCGTCCAGGAGACATCTTGTCCTCTATGAGCCCACTCATGACCTGAGATGGATTGAGGTGGGCACCAAAAAGTCACAAAACAAACATGGCTAAGAAGAACATGGCTAAGTACAAATAACATCAAGCAATATCACATACAGGATACATCAATTGTATAGTAAATTGCATACCAATGGTATGGTAAACATGGTCAACACCATCAGTTTCTCTGTTCTTCTACTCGATCGGGTCCAGGTTCGACCCGACACGCGTGTTTTTCGGAGCATCGCAGCCAGAATGCGAACCCAGCATTCTACGTGCCATCTACTCTCTCAGAGCATCTCAGCCTAGCTTGTGGATTCCTTTGAGTTATTTGAGAGGTTCGATGGCACGCCTGACTTCTAGGCCCCCAAATTGGCTGGTGCCAGTGCCGTGGAACTTCTGAAACCGCTTCGAAGTTAAGTGTTGTTATCTGATAACCCATCGGGTAGATTCAATGGCCGGCCAACTGCCGCCAAAGCTGATCAATCTGCAGAAACACATCGCGGCAGCAAAGATGTTCGGTGCCCTCTGGTCCTTCTGGAAAAGAACAGGCACTCTTCTTCCGCCACTTGTTTGTCCCTGGGAATGTCAGCTTCACGTCTGCAACAACGGACTCCACTGCGGTGCCAATTGATTACCCCCTCCCCAGTAGAATCCAGTTACAAGCAAACTATAGAAGGTGTCCGCATCTCATGCCATCTCTGGTTTCCATATCTTCTATTCCTGGCCAGCCCAGCACAAATCATGTTTACTATCTCAGAAATCTGCAACACCACCTATGACCCCCACACTCCGACTCCTTCAGCCCCAAGAAGCCAATCGATAGGTCTTCACCTCCTTCTCTTGTCCAATCCGATGTGCACGATCCACTGCCTGCCTTGCACGCGATCCACTGACTGAAGCTGGGGAACAAAAACATAGAAAAGTATTTCCCCAGGTTTGAGGATGTACCAGTTTCACCGGGGAAATCAAAAAAAATCCTCCAGAAACCGAAAACAAACCAGGCTACATGTCCACTGCAGGATTCCATGCAGGGTCCAAGATGATGACCCGGTCGGCGCTGGTCAAGTTGAGGCCTCGAGAGACAAACAAACAGAACTGGGGGGGGTCCAGTCCAGCACAACGGTTCGGGTCCAGTCCGGTCCAGTCTGGGGAAAGAGGTGTGCCAGCTGCATGCGTTCGGGGTCACCTGCAGAAAGGTCACCATTGGACACCCATTGGAAGCGCTAAGTGTGTGTGTGTGTGTGTTTTAGTTATATATTATGTATACCCTCGAGATCCACATACCCTCTGAGAAGGTGATTTGAGAAGGCACTTGGATCCCTAGGGGTCATAAACTATATATATAAGATACGAGGATGTGCCATCTAAAGTGGTCTAGGGTCACATATTTTGTTTCTTCTGTAGAAAGTCCACATGCTGATTCCAACTGGCATCAATGACCGCCTTTGTTCTTGCCACCTTATCCATAAAACCTATACTCCCCAGCTCCTAATGTTCCGCGCCCAGCTGGAAAAGGATGGCCTGATCCATGGCCACGTGTGGCCTGCTTATTAGCGGAAGCGAACTCTCCACCGGTCTTGTGGTGGAAAACAATTCAGAAAGGAGCGCTGTGAGCATGTTTCTCAGTGTTTTCCTGCAGAAACAAATCCCCAACAAAACAGGTTTTGCAGGTGATCCTCCAGGTTATCCCTGTTAAAACCTTAATTAACATCTTTTTTGGTCTTTTTCATGTTCTTCCACCAGTTGGATCTTATAATGAGAAAAACATAGAAAACACACGAAAACACACTAAAGGTTCTCCACCATCCTTCCAGGACACCGGTTTCATCTCGCCACGTCCTGCTGACCAGTTGTCAGCCGAGGCACCGTAGCCACCCACTTTGGTGGTCAAGAGCATGCAGCCTTAGGGGACGAGAAGGGATGATGTGAGGATCCAACTTGACGGGATTTGGAGTAGTCTTCAACTCGGAAATCCCATTTCGAACAAACGCTTGGAGAGTCCAAAAAATATCCCTATAGGGCTCCAAGTACCTCCTCAAACATTACTTTTGGACCCCTCCAAGCCAACCCCAAACACCGTCTTAGAAGGTGCTTGGAGCCAAAAACAAATTGGAGATCGATGCTGTGAGATACTGTACATGGTTGAACTATGTTGAACCTATAGCCTATAGATATATTCTTTTGGAAGCATGCCATCATGTGCCACCACCATGTATTGTTGTTTTGTGGTTGGCTACCCCAAAAGCTGCACAACAATGCCGTTTCGATTCTGCTGCTTGCTCTCGGCTTTGGCATTGATATTGTCAAGAAGGATTCGGCCGCACTTGCGTTGTCAAACGCATGTCTTTCATCACCTAACCATCAGTTCATCCCGCTTCATCCAGCGTCGCGACTGGCTGGGTCATGGCACCGGGATGCTGTTCTTTTTGCCCACCAAAAATAACGGAATCAACGACCAGGGGAGGTCAACCACGGATGAAGAAGGCGGCTGGTGCACCGCCCGGCATCTGGCAACCCACCCAACCGTCTGCGGGCTCGCCGCTGTAGTCCTTGGTCTCTTGGAACTTCTGCACCGCCGTGTTGCGCGCGTTCACGTCAGTCGATCCGTCGATGCGCAAGTAGCTGAGCTGGAGGCGCTTCAGAACGCAAAGCTCGACCTGGCAGAAGAGAGAGGTGCGAGGTGAGAGGTGAGGAACAGGGAAACGATCTTTACAACAACACATACTCCCCAAAGAGGATTTAACCATAGGGAAAAATACCTTAAGCAAAACCAGGCTGGAGTGAGCAAGTTCCAGAAACGGTTGCTGTAGAGGTGACACACTGGCTGGCTATAGATATTCACAAGAGAAATACTCTGTGACGCATGACATGGAGATGGCCCTGGGAAGGCCATTCCATCTCAAAGACAGGGGTGCCTTCCATGGGAATGTGAGTGGGTAGGTTTGGCAGTCAATCGAAACTTGGGGGTCCAGGGTGTCTTCCATGAGTACTGAGGATGGTGGATGGTATACTCTGAAACCCGACCGCACGGGTGACCAGGCACCCCCTGAGTCGTTCAAAAGCTTCATGTGCAGCACACACTTGCTCCAGAAAACATCTCTGGCACCACCATCTCTGCCCCTCCCACTTTCCACTGCAATGCGCTATAGTGCTTGGATTGAGGTGGTGACAGGTGGTGACCTTTGACCCATGTTTTTTCTTGGAGGTGGAACCGACTAGGCCGACTCCTGAGCTAGGCTAGTACAGAGTTTCCCTTAGAAAATAGGTTACAATGTCAAAAACCTTTTTGGAACCTATAGGAACTCACAAGAACCACATTTTAAGTGGAACCACCTTTTTGACATTATAACCTCAAGGGGTTCTTGTTGAGTGGATCAAACAACCCCTTCTTGTTGAGTGGATCCACCATCCCCAAGCTAAATCACACTCATAGTCGTCACCCAAACACGAATCGAAGTCCCCAAGTGGAAGGAACACTTAGAACCGGTGATGTTTACCCAAGTAGACAAAAAGTAGAACCAAGCCAAGCACGACACACGGTTTTCCTACTTCACTATAAATAGCTTCTTCTACCTCTGCTCTCTTTTCATTGTCTTTGGATGTCTTTTTGTATGCTTCTGTTGCTTTATTATGTCGCTGGTCAAGAAAACATCAAGGGTTCAGGATCAATGATAGAGTTCTTATTGAATTCGATGCGCAAAAAGTAGTACTTGACCAGCTCACCGAGGGCACCCCACAAGCGCTGGACCCTCTAAATTCATACACCAGCATCCTAGCATTTAATCTGCTCATGTGCTGTTCTGTGGTTTTCTTGCAGCATTCACTTCTTTGTCGTCTGTTGCTTTGGAGTTTATTATCGTTATTACCTGTTTCTCCTTTGCTTTTTGTGTTTTTCTCCAACCCTCACGTCAGCCCAGTCTCATGAACACGACAGGGTCTTCATTGAACATGAAGGGTTCCCCATTAAAGTAACTATTGGAGGAATATTAGCTTCAATAAAAATAAACAATTCTAACCGCTTTCCTGCTCTCTATAAGAATTCACATGTTTCTTCAAAGCCCCACAGCGGGGTGAACCACTTCACCATTTCAAGTTACTAGTAGAATGATAAATTCAACAAGAATACACAGTGAACAGCATATACCTGCCACACTGGTGTTCATTCCTGATCTACAGCTGCAATAAACATCATCAACTGGACTCTTCCCGGTGGCGGCTCTTCCACGACTCCGCCAGAGGATTGAGACCCACGCTAAGTCCATCATGCGAACCTTAGGAGACAAAATGAAACAGCACCATAGGTAGTGTAGGGTAGTCTATTGCTGACCCATTGGATATATTGTAAATATATATAATATATGGTGGTTGATCAATATTCTTTCATCCTGGAATGGCCATTCATCGCGGAAAAAAAGATATCTTTCGCGGATCTTTCGCGGCCTCATGGCGAAGCATGGTCCTACAACCATGTCTAGCTGCGAGTCTAGCTAACATGAGCCGGAACATGTCATAGTATCACAAAATAGGGAGACAATTGTGCCAAATAGAGTCAGGCACAGCTCAACCCAATCCTCGTGTCAGCTGCCAACACAGGGTGATGCAGCATGGGGAATGCTCGGGGGCCTCAAGCTGGGAACCTAGACTTTAGCGGCACATTCGCGAAACTTTCGCGGATCTTTCGCGAAATGTCACTGCTGCTTTGCCCGGGAAGACGTAAAATTTGCAAACATCTGCACAGCCCGTCAGAGCAGCTGCAGGTCGTTGCCTCACTGTCAGGGCTGTGCCTACCCAGATTGCTAGTCTGTGACAGTGGGGACAGGAATCGGAGAATCCTTTACGCACTGCCAGGGCTGGGCACGGAAATGTTGAGGCTTCAGTTCGTTAGTCTGTGACATATGGGGACACTTCCGCCCACTGGCTCTGCCGGAGGATTGCCTTGCGTTTCTATTCTTTGTCAGTTCGGTAGAAAGGAAAACAATGAAAGCGATGACCTTCGATAAATCTTTCGCGGAAAAAAAAGATACTTTCGCGAATCTCATCGCGAATCTTTCGCGGATGGTTCTAACAACATCTGAAAGGCTGTTTTATATAATACTCCTTACACGGGGTTTTCGATCAACTCCCATATACCTTATACTTGAGAGGAGGGAGACACGAAAGGTAGGACAGGGGGAAGAGAAGAGAACGTGAGAGGCAGGAACAAAAATGCAATGTTCGACATGGTGATTTATCCCCTCGGAGGCGACCTTTCGTAAATATATGTTCATATGCACTCTAAATGTTCAAACATATGCTCTCGAAATGTTCAAAAAGATTCTTAGGAAAACAAACTTGCCCCATGGCTCAGATCATCGGTGAGCATTGAATCGGAACATCATAGGATTTGAACTATCCTGAAACCATAAGAGGCTCACGAAGACGCTCCCCAGGAGAGAATTGACGTGCTTCACAAAACAAACTCTAGGTATGTATCCCCTCGAGGAACACCTTTCGTGATTGGAATTTCATATTCACTCTTTCTGAATGTTCAAGAGGGTTTCAACTATCCTGAAATCATGAGAGGCTCACGAAGACGTTCTCCAGGAGAGAATTGACTTTAGAGGGGGGGAGGGGGGGGGGGGTCTGTATTGAAAAATCAATTCGAGGGAGGGGTTCTGAATTGAGCGATCAATTATTAGACCCGGACGTCCAAACACTTGCTTCGCAAGACAAACTCAAGGTATCCCCTAAAGGGCTACCTTTCGTGACATTTATTCAATGCCATAACATGGAGTCTTTGGTTAAGGTGGCAACATGCGACCACACACCACTGAAAGAATGGTTATTGGAGGGAACATGCATAGTCCGGGGCGGTCTTTTAACCACCCATACTGGTGGTGCTGGTGGATCTGTGAGTCGTTTTGTGAAATACATTGTGTTTTCTTTTCCTCAGCTACCCGTTGATGTTTGGGAACCTTGGCAGAGCGTGGCCGGTGGATGACTGACTAGCAGCGTGGCCCGTGGCAGCTAGGGCACTCCTGTGCACCCCAAGGTTGATTTCAGCGGTGGATGGTAGAAACCAACCACTTGCTCCACATCAATCAGAAAAAGTCCTTGCACAAGTGCAACTCCCTTCTGATTTTGGGTGGACCATCTCGAATATCTGGCCGCCAGTCCCTGTTGTCCAGTTCGGGCAGGTCCCCGCCACAAGATTCGTGCTCTGGAATCCTGGGAAGGAAGGCGACAGGGAAATCCAGGACCCAGGAGCTGCAGGGAGTGTAACTTCTTGCCCCACGAATGCTGGAACGGTGCGTGTGACTCTGCCAAGCCACGCCCTGAGAGAAAATCAGCGTCCGGTGCCCCTTGGACGCCAAGGAGGGCAACCTTCGTCGGCTGCGGACGGGAGAGACCAAAGGAGAATCGGGTCAGCAGCGGAATAGGTGGCATATCGTCGAATGAGTTCGGAACACTGAGCCCAAGTCGGCATCTAATTCAGGTCTAATGATAGCCGCGCAGTGCCAAGTGACCCTCGCTCTGGATGCTAAGTCGGAGGTCAGCCGTTTGTCTCGCAGTCGTCTATTCTTTGCATCTCGCTGGCTTTCAACGTCTCTCCTGCTCCGACTCCCACCCCCATCCACCCCCCCCTCCGTCCAAACATCAGTCCTCACTTGCCCCCAAGAAAGGTTTTTCAGAACCCGACTGTTCAACTCTCCCAGGTTCTTCGGGTGTGGATCACTGGCTACCTCTTTCCGCCACACAAGACCGACGCTTTCGACTCGCCGAGGCGCAGCGAACTCAAGCACTGCAACTTGGCACTCTGACCCACCAGGGAGATGGCGTCACGCTTGAGGTTCCTCAGATGTCGCAAACGGGGAAGGAAGTGGGTCAGATTCCGCAACACAGTTTCCGGAAGTGTTCTCCCCGTGGTATTTTTTACTAAAATAGACCCAGCACCTTCCTTACGGGGTCACCAATGGAAGCCTTTACACTACATATGGATCTCCATTGGTCACCCCTTGGAAGGTCCGAGTCCAGGTATAGTTACTATTATTGTATTATGAAAATCAAGATGTATCAAACGTATCTCCAAACGCTTATGGACCCTCCAAAGGAGGGGTCTGGGGTCTGAAATCCCTCGGTGTTCGGGAAATCCCTGGAGGACGGTGGCACCAAGGCGAGGTCCTCCGCCGTCCTTTTTGTGCGGTTTTCGCGTGGTGTTCCACTTGATGTAGAATCTAGACTCATCAAGCCCCCCTCTACAGTGAAAAGCATCTACAAACTACAGTGTGGACATGTGTAGACTGTTAATTCTTCAAACTCCCCCAACAAAATTAAGAAAGAAACCTCTTCATAGATGGGGGGCTGACATCAGTCCAAAGTACCTTGCTGCCCACTGGTACCCCCTGCGGACTAACATGGACCGTGAAAATAGACCCCCCACCCAAACGCTCATGCACCCTGGAGGGATCCTACCCTCATATGGAGGGGTCTGGATCCTCAAATCCCTATGGTTTTGAGGGACCAAAACCTGTGAACAGATCTGTCTGGGCAGAATCCAACGAGTCTCATCTATGTCTAAATACCAGCAGTCACATGTTGGGATGCGATCCAGGATGATCCAGGGAGGGGCCGGGGTGCTCCTGTCACATCCACTCACGTAAGGGGACTAAACACCACCCCGAGCTCTGTGACTCCTGGTGTATGTATGTACGGTATGTATATATCTCGCCGACGTGACGTGGGCTTTCAGGGTCCATGTGATCCTCTGCAGGACGGTATGCCCCACTGTATTGCCCACTCATGTGTCGATGTGGATGCCGGTGTTTGTTCCGGCATGCTGAGGTCCCTACGAAGTGAAGACACACATCTTCACCTGCCTGGCCACATGGCCGCCTTCGGGGGCGCCGAGAACGGCGCCACGCGCCAATTCGGAACTTGGAGCATGGCATCATGGCCTTGATCAAATGGATCCAATGGCTGCCAAACTGTTGGCCTTGATCAAGAACCGATGTTTTGGTCGATGGCATCCTCGGGTCCACTTCTTGCTTTCAGACTGCTGATCCTGTCAGCTGTGTGCATCACTGGGTCGATGCTCAACTTGCAGTCCTGGATGCTCGAACAGCCGAAGCAGCCACTTGGGAATTCCAAAGAAGTCACGAACAGTCACGAAGAGAGCCAGCTCTGTCAAAAAGGTTCTTAGATGATTCATCCCAAAGACTCTTTGTATGGAAGAGTTAGTCCCTAGGCTTCCAACAACCATTGTTTTAATTGTTAAATGGTCTTTACTGAACCACCCTTAAGGAAACTAAGGAATTTTACACTACGCAACCACGTCAACCTTTCTTTGAATGGTCTTGGAAGCCTAGGGTAGTTACATAATTAGGGTCATAAATGTCTGTAACATTATGTACGTAACTATTCCCTCCATGGACGGTCCTGCGCGTTGTTGCACGACACATCACATGAAACTCTGGGTGGCGTCGGCATGCATCTATCATCACGACGGTCCCCAGTTGAAACCCCAACAGCGACCACTGGAGCGTGCCGATTTTCCCACGGCTGGAATGCGGCATGGCGGCATGGCGGGGGGCAGCTGGTATTTCATGTCAGGCGAAAGCCAAACGGAGCAGCTGGGCAAAGCGGTCAGAAGTCTCACCAGCTGGTGACTCTGTGCACCAAGACCAGGATGCTAATGATGAGATTGATTTCTTCATACTGACAGCAATCCATCTGCCAAATCCTGCACACTGCGAAGCAATGCCTCTGCGGAATGGCTTCTCATCAACACATCTCCGGCACCAAAGATCTTCGCACCTCTTTCCTCCCCATTCCTCGATTACACCTCATGTCAAACCTGATGATCCTGCAAGTATACCCCAAACACTCCATGGGACTGGAATATTATATATATATATATGCCGCCCCATTGACCCCCCTGGCGATGAATCCTCCGGCTGTCAAGATCTGTTTCATGGCCTCATGGCGACACACAACTCGTCATGATGGCCACACCTCCCTGAGGGTTGAGAGGGCAATCCGCTTTCAAGGAGTTTGTGGGATTGTATTTCATCCAATATCGAGGTGCCGTAAACTAGGCAAAACCAACCAACTCAACCTTCAAACAAATCCCGGGCGCCGTCCTTTCGCTTCCCACGCTGCTCAAACACGCAGCTGATGCAAGCTAAGACGCTTCAGCATCCGCTCTACTGCTTTACCAGGGTCCGCAGCCTCCTCACATGCAGAGACGAACCTCGTACGAACCTGCTCCTTCGAAGATGTGGGCAAACGAAACCAAGTTGAACGTCATGAGAGCTATGGCTGTGGGTCATGGCACAGGGGGACCCTGGTTTTCCCCACCCCCTGGCAAGTCCACCGGGTGAGTGGCTCCGGGGCTCCCGGGGTCGACCCACAGCGGACCCTTCGCAACGGACCACGGCTTCACCGGTCCGTGGCGTCCGTGGCGGCCCAGTGGTTATAGGGTTCCATGTGGTCCTCTGCAGGGGGTAGAGCTCGCAACTCCCCACACCCACACAAGACCTAGACATGGGGAAGGTGTTTCGGACCCGACCATGTTCTTGTTTCAAACAACATTCTTCAACTCGCTCGAGCTCCATGGTGTGTATAAAAGGGTGATATGGATCCATGAGTGATCAACCAAATCTCTGGCGAAGGGACATTACATGGGAAGAAGGGTGTCTCTCAACCACCCGAGCTCTGTGGTGTTGGACAAAAAATGTATATTATATACAGCAAACAATATTGTTAGTCACATCAGTTTTGGTTTCGATAGTGATGAAACTGCATAGCAGTGACCGATACGAGGGGGTCACATCAGGGTCACATCAATATAGTCATTTAGCTTGCAGTTTGGTTGTCTCCATGTATTGCCAAAATATGGCGAAGTTAGTGTTATGGCACACCCGCCAGTCCCTGCTCATGCAGCACACATGCCTTTTTCCGATCATTTCTTGGTTGCCTTTGGTACGTACACACTTTGATGCTCCAGGAGCCAAGTCTGAAGCCATTTCCGGCGGCCCAGCTTGGAGTTCAACGTCTTGGGACTCACGATCTCTTTGTTCAAGTGGTGAGCCAGGCTCGCCTTCGGCGTGCGGTGGCTCTGCCAAAAAATCTATTTATTGCCCAAGCGACTGCCCAAACGAATTTGGGCGCGCCGCATCTTTGTCAGCTCCAGCCTCGAGCAACAATCGCACAACTTCTAAGTGGCCTTTCGCG